CCTAGGCATGATACCATATGAAGAACCCTACCAGAGTGCATACCAGAAAAGGCGGTTAGGAGCTTTGGGTTCCGAGTGGCGTCCTTCCTCTCTAAGACTTGCTGTTGGGCCTGACTTCAGTGTAGATCCGGATTTCCAAATGCTGCCTATTGGGGACTTGGATATGTTGGCTGATCCTATGCCAGAGTTTGTAGATGCCATGGATTGGGAACCACAAAATGAAATGCAAAGTGATGATACTGATTCAGAGTACAATATTACTGAAGATTATTCTACCGGAGGGGAGCAAGGAAGTTTAAGTTCAAATCCCTCTATTGATCCAGAGTGCAGTGAAGAAGACAGCGAGGCTGAGGATGCTCAAATGGATGGACTTCGTAGATCTAAAAGGAAAAAACAAAAGGCTGATGTAAGTTCTCTGTCAATAACAAATTATAGTTTAGTTTTGGTTAGGGCCTGCTTGAATCTGCTTTAATGTTCCCCCTTTCTGTTTCCTCAGGTTGAAGTCATGAGTTCTTCTGGAAGGTGTGTCAAAAGAAAGAATTTGGATGAGTGTGCTGGCAATCCATTCAGAAGTAATAGAACGAGGAAATCTAGACATGGCCGAAAAGCTTCAAGAAAGAAGTCTTCCACATCAAAGTCATTGAGACCTCAAAGAGCTGCTGCACTCAACGCTCTTACTCTATTTTCTAAGATTACTGGAAGATCTGCAGATGGAGAAGATGAAGATGGATCAGAAGAAGATATGTCAGGAAGTGAATCCACCCTGCAAGATTCAAACATTGAGAGTGATGGATCTGATAAACAAAATCAGCAAACCAAACATTCAAAAGGAAAAGAGGTTTCACTGGATGAGTCTGAGGACATGGTTAAACCTAATGAACGCCCTGAATTTCCAATAAATGCTGGGAACAGGAGGAGATTGGTGCTTAAATTGCCAAGACGGGACTCAAATAAGGTTGTGTCTAGAGAAAGCACGGTACATAATTGTGGTAATCAGGATGGTTTGCTTGACCAATCATGTAGAGTACCTCAAGAAGCAACTGAAGCAAACAACAATATAAGCTCTCAGGATCCAGGGTCCTCACTTGGTGATAAAAAATGCAGCATATTTGAAACAGCAGTGGGTGGGCAATTATACAAAGTAGAAAATCATGTAGATTTGACTGAGAATTACAAAAATGGGAGAATTAGTTGGGGAGGGTCCAGAGTGCGAACATCCAAGCGTCTGAGGTCGGGAGAATCCATGTCATTGGATGCACTTGCCAGAGCCAGTGCAACCGTCGTTGGTAACGAAAAAGAGTACACAAAACCTGAAAATGATTTTGGAACCATGTCACCTCAATCAGAAAGCCAAATGTATGGAGATACAATGGCTGTAGGGAATGAGGAAGCCATTGGGGCTAGTACCTCTGAGGGCCTTAATGGTGAAACCAATGCCAAAGAGCAATCAGGTTTTAGTGAATGCAAGGATCATGATCAATCGCCTAAATCTGTTCACATGGCTCCTTGGGATGCAAGCACTTCCTCATGCCTTGATAAGGACAGGACTGTTTTCTCTTCTGAACAAAATGAGAAGCTCACAACTGTCTCAACAAAATTGAGGTTGAGGAGGATTTCAAGGGATCCTAGTCCTTGCAAACAGGAAATGTTCTCTGTGGTAGAGAACTTGGAAAATGGTAGATGTAACACATTACATGAAAGCCTTTCAAGCATGGAACAGGATCCAGTTGTGCCAGAGGATGATGGAACCCCTAAATTTATTCCAGATGATAGATACAATGGCTCACGAGAATCAGACAATCAATCTGATAAGAATGTCATTTCTGGTATACATGAATCAGTCGAGTCCCATTTACATAAAAACAAAATGTTCAGTGCTGTTTATAGAAGGGTGAAACCACATAGGGGTAGAATTAATTTAGAAGGTGATAGTGGCGTCAAGGAAGAAGGCTGTTCATATACTTCAAATCCAAGCAACCACAATCTCATTGCTGGAGTGGACTTTCATGATGACTCAGTTGATGGAGGTCGCAGGACACGGTCCATGGCGTTGAAGGCATCTGCACGTGATCCAAGTAGTGTAGATCATGATGATAAGATGGGCCAAGGACATGAGCCAGGTTATACATTTAGAAGTAACCAGAAAAGTTCCATGGACAAGTTTCAACTTCGGAATGAAGAACAGGGATCAAGTTCAAGGACAACAGTTGGATTGAGGTCTACTAGAAACAGAAGAAGCAGTTACCGTGACATGAATCCAATGGATAGAAGGAAGTCGCATCAGTCAGCAAGGAAAGTATCATGGTTAATGTTGTCAACACATGAGGAGAGCTCACGATATATTCCCCAGTTAGGGGATGAAGTCGTTTATTTGAGACAGGTTTCTTTATAGATTGCTGCTGGTCTTTTTCCCTTTTAATTTTCCCTTTTCAGGGAGCGGGTAGGTTAGTTTTGACATGAGATTGTGCCTTGGTGCAAACCTATGGCTTACCCTAAGCGACCCACACAAGTCGCATAAACAGCATCTCTGGAAACAGGGATATAGCTGTGTATGCTTTACTGTCCCAGGGCCCTACATTAGCCAGAGCTTGTACTGGACTGCCCTTTGTTGTTTTGGTTTTGGTTGTCATGTGAATGTTGATTATATCGCATAGCTTGGTAACCTCCTTTTTTTCTTTTTCCTTTCTTACCAGGGGCATCAAGAGTATTTCGAACTTGGTGGATTGAGAGAAAACCCACCGTGGACATTTATAAAGGGGAGAATAAGAGCTGTAGAATTTTGCAAAGTTGAAGACCTGGAGTATTCTTCACTTGCAGGGTCTGGGGATAGCTGCTGCAAATTGACACTTCAATTTGTAGATCCTACTTCTGATGTATATGGTAAATATTTCAAAATGACTCTGCCTGAAGTTACTGGTTTCCCAGACTTCATTGTCGAAAGAACTCGCTATGTCTCTTCTATAGAGAGAAATTGGGCATGTAGGGATCATTGCAAAGTCTGGTGGAAAAATGAGGGTGAGGATGATGGTAAGTGGTGGGAGGGGAGGATTAAGCTGAAACAGTCTAAATCTACCAACTTCCCCGACAGTCCATGGGAGATGTATACTGTTCAGTACAGGTGTGATCCTAGTGATGCACAGCTACATAGTCCTTGGGAGCTCTTTGACTCCAATACTCAATGGGAGCAGCCTCGCATTGATGATAAGAGCAAAATGAAGCTGCTTTCTGCCATTGCCAAACTAGAGCGATCTGCTGGTAGTCGCCAGGTAATAAGGAGAAAAAAACACCCTTTACCTTTTATAGTTAGAAAATTAATTTTGTTAAATGCTGCATTTGGCTAACTTTTTGAAGACTTACAAGGATTTTCCTCAATTTCGTTGTGTACAATTCAGGATTCTTTTGGGGTTGATAAGCTGAAGCAACTTCAACAGAAGCCGAAGTTTACAAACTGGTATATCTTCGTTATATTATAGCATTCCCGTTATGTTGTGTTCGATTTCAAGGTCATGCATGCTAACACTTGCGTGTCTGTTGTACCGGCCATGATGGAATTTCTCTCTCAAGTGCTATCTGAGATTTTGAAATGTAGTTTTGTGTTTTGGAATTTTCTCAGGTGTGCGGTTCCAATATCTCTTGACGTGATCCAGTCTAGGTTAGAGAACAACTACTATCGAAATTTGGAAGCACTAAAGCATGACTTTAAGGTCATGTTGTTAAATGCTGAAACCTATCTTGAAAGCAATGCGGTCAAGCGCACATCAGATAAAGAGCTTTTAGCGAAATTGAAATGCATATCAGACTGGTTCACAGAGACAATATCATTCTTGTAGCACCTATAGTTACGTAAAGAAATTGATTCATTAATGAGTTGAAGCAGACCATCTGGGTTTTTGCCCCTTGATGTTCTTTTTCTTCTTTTTTTACTTTTTGTAGATATTTTACTTACCTTAAAGAGGCTTTTCCATTGTACCATAGGTTCAATTTTGGAATGCGTTAACCTTTTGGATATTCTTTTTAGAAGGCAAAAAAGATCGCAGAGGCAATTACCTGGTGGTCTTGTAAATTTTCCACCGGAGAATTCATTCTTGTACATACTTGGTTTTTATCATTAATTATAACAAAGGAAAAACGGAGAGATTTCAGTCTTAATAGTCTCGCATGCATCGGTGTTATTTTTCATTTCAATGCATAACTTGTATCTGCCTTATTCATGGTTGCCTTATAGCTTCCTACCTAACCCCTCGCCCACAATACAAATAGAGATTCGAATTGAGCATTGGGCAGGCGGTGCTTCAAAGAAAACCACTCTATGAGTAATTTTTGCAAATATTCCATGTCTTCCATCTATTTGATAGTACACCAGTCACGTGGTGTACTCGGAACACCCAAAAAAATTTATATGTTCTGTGTACACCACGTGGCTGGTGTATCATCCAATAGATGGAAGACATGGAATATTTGCAATGCAACCCGCCACATGTTATAAAAAGAAATGCAGTAAGTTAGACAATAATTCCACGTCCTATGTTTATTGGATGGTACACCAGCCACGTGATATACCCAGAACAAATAAAAATTTCTCCCACTCTAGAGTCTATTTTCACGGAATAAATGTCCAATTATGAAGAAAGTAATTGTTTAATCCACTCCCAATCAAAAAGACAAAAAGGGCAACTGTTATATTGAACGATGTTCCAAGCAAATGCAAATGCATGCTGGACTGCCTGTGTTTTTTTAATACTAAACATTTTACAATTAACTTAACAAGTCTTCAGAACCTCCATGTCAGTGTCTCCTTCCTAAAGTTACATTTTTGGGGAACAATACATCTTTTTGATAGGATGAAATCCGAGCACACAAAAGGAACACGTAAATATTAGTCTCTCCACCTATGGCCACAGCTGGGGTTGCAGCAAACAAAGAACAATGTCATATTTTTGGGGAACAATACATCTTTTTGATAGGATGAAATCCGAACACACAAAGGGAGTGCAAAAATATTAGTCTCTCCACCTATGGCCACAGCTGGGGTTGCAGCAAACAAAGAACAATGTCATACCCTCCTCTCCTCTAGCAGTTGCCTGCACATGCATAATAAACTTATAGCATTAGAAGCACCATAAACTAGACAAAGTTGTTCAGAGATTACTAGGAGTTTTTGGTTCGGCCGTTCAAGGAGTGCAATTAAATAGAGTAAGCAAACAACTATGGAGTGCAGTGACTTCAATCTGATTTTTCAAAATGGTATCTCTGTATAATACAGATGTATAGACTCCATATGCCCCAAATAAAATAAAGAAGACAAAAGAAAAGAATCTAGCTGCCCTATGCCACGGTGGTGGATTTTTGACTGAAAAATGGACACAGATGTTGCAGTACACATGGCCAACCAATCTCTCTACAATAACACAAAACTAGAGCTCAATACTAGTGGAAAGCAATGAATACATGAAAATCGATATCTGAGACAAAAGGAAAGCAATGATTGAAGTCTAAACAGGGCATAATAACTTTTAATTACTAAAGTAGAAAGCAAATACATGAAAATCTTTTCACTGATGCATTAGTAAAGTAGCTAAGCTATGATAGTATCCCGACGTTTTTTTTCCTCTCTTTTTTTGGTTCCCTGATGGTAGGTATTCAATAAGATAGATACTAGATTCCAAGTTGTCATGAAAATCCAACCATTAAATGATAGAGACTTAATTATTAACAGTTGGCATTTCATCAAACTAGCAAAGGGTAAAAATATGTTATGTGACATTAAAATTTTAAAGTCACATTGTTAGACACCTCTTTCTCGCTCACTCTCTCTCTATATATATATGTGTGTGTGTGCACGTGTGCGCGCCTGTGTAATCGAAAAAGTTAAATGCAAAGGCAAAACTAGCAATAAAATTCAATGCAACATATAGAGGATTGGTTATTAACCTGAAAGAAGACAGCTTCTCCATGCTTGCACTCTGAACACCGCACCGCTTTGGTTCGAGGGAGAGTTGGATCTGCAGCTACATCTTGCAATATTTGAGTGCGTTCCCCAACAGCATGGTGTATCTCATTTCTGTAGACACAGTTGTTGTCAGCAACCTCCTGCAAACAAAACAAAAAAACAAAACATCTAATAAGTAAACAATTATATAAAACGAAGGAGGAGCCACGAAGAGACCTTTAACCAGAAGTGATAAAACCCTACAGTGCAGCAAAGTGATTAGAGCACAGAGCAACCCGAAGACTCAAGCTAGACTCTAGAAAGTAACTTCATAAGAGACCATACAAAGAAGGCCTGAATAATCAGATACTTCTGCCGGGTACAAATTTTTAGCGTGACCCATAAAGAAAGAAGTAAGAGCTAACGGGAACTCTCCAATAAAAAGGGGGTTATCAGAATAAGACACAGTTCTAAAAAGATACAGAATTTTTAATGCACTACACCCCAAAAAATTAAATTAAATAAAATCCCCTCATTGAGAAAATCTTCAGATGTTAATCCTAATTACATAAATGAGATTATGATGCATTTGGGCAAGTGTAGTAGTAAGTACTGAGCAGAAGAATAAAGTTTACTGAGAGCCCACATTACATGGAGGCATGTGGGTTTCGCATTGAAATTGCAGACCTTTGAAAACATACTTATTAAAAAAAAATTAAAATTAAAATCCAAGGAGACATAGAAAGAATGAGTTACCTGGTGATCGCAGTTGCGGCACGCATAGAGGAGGATCTTCTGGTCCTTGTCCTCTTTTGGGTACAGGATATTGTTGCTACAAAAGCAGAATCGAAACCAAATCAGAGACCAAAAACAAAATTCTCAAACAAGTTTTAAAAATCAGGGTTTGTTGTGCATGTGTATGTGAATGAGGAAGACGATAAATGCTGAGTTTACTGACCATTCGCGGCAAAATTTCATGGTACTCATTTTGAAAAAGCTCGAGGTTTTGGGGTCTGGAGAGGTCTCTGTGTTTTGAGTTCTTTGCTTTTGGCGAAGGGCGGGTTCTCAGCTCTCCCTCTTTGTAGCTCCTCCCAGATGTTTCTTCTGGCGGCACCACACTGCTCCACTGAGTTCTTCTAAAGAAATTTTAAGGGTATTTTCGGTAAACTGGAAACTTTGAGGCCTAAAGGCCCAAAGTATTTATAGGAGTTATGTTGGAGGCCCAAAGCTTTAGCAGCTATGTTTTCCAGTTTTCCTCCTCTGATAACTTTGCTCTAAGTTAGAGCACTTCCATCCATTTGCCATGACAAAGGGTAAAGGTAAGGTAAAGGTTGTTACTATTTACGTGAATAGTGGCAGCTCTTGTAAAAGTTTGTAGTGTTTCCACCTATTGTCATGGCAACAACTATTCACATGAGATATGATGAGAGAAATTTGTATAGAGTTTTAGTGTGGGAAGTGAAAAATATGACTAAGTATTTATTTTTTAAAAATTCTGAAATTTTTTGTTTTTTGTTGTTGCTGACGTTAGCAAACCCAAGCTTGAGCTCGGGCTCATTTTGCCTGAGGGCTGGCTTGGTTTCGTGGGCCCCAGCAGCTACCCTGGCAACTTAATGTCGCTGGAATCATGAAACGGGGCTTGGGCCCCTTATTGCCCTGGCAAGGGCTGTCCGATGGAAAGGCTCTTAATAGTTTCTTTTTCTATTTTCAGTGGGGTTACATTCTTTATTACCTTCTTTTTTTATTTTTTTATTTTTTTATAGAAACGATATTCTATTTAAAATCATCTAATGGGAAGGGGTATTCGAACTCATGTGTAGAATGGAGAGCACATCTGCTCTAGCAAACTTGACTAAACTCATGTGTGCTACATTCTTTATTACTTTTGGTTGCATAAATTGATCTCCTAATAAGCTATTTTTTTTTCTTTTATAACAAAATATCAAATTTGGCTTTGACGTCTTCATGAACTGTAAGCCCTTCAGGGCATTAGCCCACAAGCATGATGATTGATGACACAACACAAATTAATGGAGTTCAATAAACTGTTAATCTCTTCCCCTTTAAAGCCCGGCAAATACCTGGAGTTGCAACAATTTAGGCAGAGGCCTAAACCTATCCTTTGGATCAATGCAAAATCGCAGCTTCATTTGTATATAACAAGTTTTTTTTTTTTTTTTTTTTTTTTTTTTTTTTTTAAAATAAAAAAATGGAAAATGGATAAATTTAATTAAATAAAAAAAACAAATGATCTATAAAAAACAGTACCAAGTACAGTGCAAGTTCAAATAAAGCAAGGGTCACAAAGTAAGACATCACAAGAAACACCTACAAAGATTATTTTGCTTCAGACCATGGATAATCCTTCATCTAGGAAGCCCCAAAATCACAACTGAACTAATTTGAAACGTAACATATCTCGAACCATACACAAGTGCTCTCCTTTATGCTCCATCACCTCAATTAACGCTTTCTGCTGTGTCTCCTGCTCTTCCTCCGGCTCCTCCTATCATCAGAATCAGATTCGGAAGCTGACTCTGTCTCAGAAGATTCAGATGATGAACTGTTCCTTCTCCGCCGTCTTCCCATCTTTTGCTTCTTTTTCTTCCTTCCGTGCCTCCTTTCCTCCTCTGAATCAGAAGATGAACTGTAATCTGAACTACTCTCCTCTGAAGAATAATCAGATCCTGTAATTGATGATGCCCCACTATCAGTGTCAAAAACTGAAGCCTCACTATCACTGCCAGAATCAGAAGCTGCTCGATGCTTCCTCTTGCTTTTCTTTGACTGCTTTTCACCCTTCTCTTCCTTTATATCTGGAATATCCAAATCGTGGGATACTGAGACCTTCATCTTCAGTTTAGGATTCTTGAGTTGTTGGGTCCTAGACGGTCGCGAGATGTAAACACGTTCATTCTTGCATTCATATGTCCAATGCCCGGGCTGGAAACACTTCTGGCATTGTGAAGCCGCACCACTAATGGTAGTTACATTCGACTTAAGGTCTTTTCGTTCACCCAATCTTACTGCCTTTTCAGTACTCATCAAATACATCTGTCTCTTGGCTTCCCTTTTCTCCTGCCATCTGCTGGGTCCTTCTTCCTTCTGCCCATAAGCATTAACGTTGCGTGCAGCAGAAGCAGCTGCCCTTTCAGCCTGAGCTCGACTAAGACCTTTTGCAGCACTCAAGGCTGCAGCCTTGATCCTTTCAGCAGCAGCCTGAGCTTTCTCTTCTTTTTTACCCGACATGTTCTAAATCACAATGTTCAAATATGAATACGGACAATTGCCTACTCCGCAAAAGCCAACTGCCTGAAGTTCCAAGAAAATATCAATACCATGATTCCCAGATGCTCTAACACCCTGCATTTAAACATTAATTAGGTTATTCACATTCATCGAATATCAGTGTGCGGGTCAACCATGTCAAAAAATCTCAGAATTAAACAAGTAGTTTTTAGGTGAATATCAAGAATGAAAAGGGAGTAGGGCCAAAAGATAAACATTTAAATGAACTATTAAAACCAACAACAATGACCAACATTGCATAGCAGAAAGAAGTTTGAAACTGCCAAATCGATCAACAATGACCAACATTGGCTAAAATCTACTATAATATAGAACTAGAACTTATTAGACGAAAATTTATCTGTGCTAAACAAATGTTATACAAGATCTCCCTCTAAAAAGTTAGGCAATTTCTATAAGAATCATTATACTATACATTATCTTGGAAAGAAGGAAAAAAAAGGTATAGGAGCATCAAAACTTTTCTTCGTTCCATCTTTTCAACTTAATCATTCCAATGCATTACGCATTTCTTCAACAATAATATCAACCTCAGCTTTTTTTAAGTCAGGGAAACTGTAACCTAAATGATTTTCCCCTCAAACTGCTAAGGCCGACACGTTCAAGCAACATCAACATTACATTAATTTTTTCAGAAAATAAAAAAAGACCCAAGATTTTCCACATTCACACACAATCGAGAACCCAACCTATTAAAAGGAAAAGATAAAGGCTTCTTCCCTACCGATCTAGCAGAAACTGTTGCAGAGAGAGAGATTAGGGCAATTTAAGGAAGCACCTTTACAACAATAAATTTCGTACAAAAACCCTAACCAACATATAACAATTATATAAATAAATAAAAAACCCAAGAGTTTTAAAAATAAAATAAAAAAGTTACCTTCTTGCGGTTGGATTTCGCTGCGGGAGCTTGAATAAGGGACAACGCTGTTGATTTCGGTTTGGGGGAAATGGGTTTGGTTGCCTTTCTTTTAGTATTAGGATTTAGGCGGCTCAACAGAGAAAAGCAGTCGTTTTTTGAATTTATATTCATGAATCAATATTTGATTGGTTTCGTTCATCTTCCAAAAAAAAGAATAGGAACGGTATCTATAAACTTTCAAATAACTCAAGCACTCATTTAAATAAAAATTTCAAACACAAGAACAAATACATAAATTAATAGTTTATATTCAAGATAAACTAGAACGTTTATCTTTTTTTTTTTTTTTTTTTTTTTTTTTTTTTTTTTTTTTTTTTTTAAAATCTGAGTTTTATAACATTGTTTTTATTTAAAGAAAATTTAAAATGCCTCAATTTTCCGCACTATGAAAATTGTAAAATGACGCCTATTTTGGTGGAAATTAAACTTGGAAATTTAATGCTCAAATTTTCACGATTTTTTCCACGCGTTATTTAATAAATTCCACGCTTAAGTTGCCAAACAAGGGAATTTCCAATTTCTCGTCTTATATTCCGGACTTTTAGCTAAATTTGAATTATTTTTCCTCATCTAAATAGAGTGTTAAAGTTTTGGAGGCAGTTGTCTCCTAATTTTATAGCAACTACAAAACATGTTATTTTTTAAAATTAGTTTAAATAAAATGTACTAATTTATCTTTATTTAATTAAGAGCATTTGCTTTGAACATGGTCATTAACCAAAGACAATTTGTGAGATTTTGAATGTTTCACCTCCAAGGCTTTCTGTGATATATAAAAATTTTGGCACAAGCTTTAGCACAATGGAGTGGCTAGTTATAACATAAAAGGGTTTAATCGATAGTGACATTTTTGTTTTGACCGTAACACCGTTGTAATAACAAAAACAAGAGATGGGTAACACTTTATCTCTTTTTGGTTGTTTTGAGGTTACATTCTTAGTTAGGATGCATATGCCAGAGTTTCTTCGATTATGCGTGATCGTTAGTGAAGGAGCCCCATATTGTCTTAATTTTGATATTAGATCATTCTGTTATTGTAATGGCTCTTTGTGGCTAATTTATATGGTTCTTTGTAGCTAATGGTTTTTTTGACTGAATTATGAATGTAATTCTAAAATTTCATACCCAAAAAAAATAAGTACATATACTAATAAATATGCCTGTGTTATGATATGAGTCAATTGTTTACACTACCTTACTTTCACTTTGAAAATTTTCAATATGGTAGCTAAATTGGGTCATACTTGATAGTAATGAATTTGTATAAAGACTATATTTTAATGTGCGCAGGTTATGGGTCTTTAGCGCCATTCACATTTCAGAGTTTAGGTTTGAGATGTGGATTTCGATGTTTTGGAGTTCAAGATTTGATTTTTTGTATTTTGAGTTTAAAAGAGAATCTAATTGCACAACTACATTCCAATCCAAAACTACCTTTACTAAAACCCAAATTGAAAGTATAATATTCATGAAAAAGTGAAATTAACTTATAAAAAGGTTGAATTCCAATAGAGACCATCGTTGAGATTTCAAGTGTAGATTCAACATTTTGAAGTTTGGATTTTAGGACTTCACAACCACCCCAAGACCCCCAAAATGTCAAAATCCACACCCAATACTCCAAAATGTCGAGGCTCACACCCAATACTCCAAAAGCCAGAATTCCAAGGCTCACACCCAAATTGCCCAAATGCTAAACCATCTGGATATTAAACCAGTGAAGTTTAACCAAAAACCATACAAGGAAAAAAGGTCTAGTAGACCCTGAAAATTCTTGATGGTGATGATTAACCGATCCAAAAGCAAAAATCCTAACCAGAAGTTTTCTTAAACAAGAGATGGAGCAAATCACATCTCCACATTATCAAAGAAAAGCTCTCTGCGGGACTAGGCCCCAATCAGCAGCCTAAAATATTCCCGAGAGAAGATTTGCAGCAGTGGATATGGCAGCTCCAGTTATAGCACCTTGCACAATCTGCTCGTGGGACGACCCCTCCGATGTGAGTGCCAGAGCCACCCCCGTAATCGCTCCGGCAACTGCACTGTTTTTCTGCAGCAAATTTTAAGCACGCACCATAAAAGTAGCGATTCTTAGCATGCCTAATGCTGAAGCGTTCATCATAGAGACCAAAAAAATTATATAAACATTACCCAATCATGCGCCCCACGAGCCTCTGTCAGTCCATATGTGAGACCTGAATACACCCCTGCAGCCAGCCCTGATATAAAAACAAGTTGTTAGCTCCCTTCTTTCGAGTTGCTACCGTGCTACACGCGATTATAAGCAGGAGAAACTGAAACCTAGAGCTTTATTTCAACGGGGGAAACGAATTGCACTCGGTCATTAGCATTGGCTACTGTGTAAAGCTGATGCAATTTCATGCTTGTAATTCAAATATAAAATCTACTAACCCCATTGCAAAGATTCCTTTCCGGTATGCTTCACCTGAAAAACAGTATGACAACTAATCAGCAACTACTAACTACATCATCAGTCATGACCAGAGGCCAGAGCAGTGAATTTTGCAGAACATGGTGATTTGTTAATAAAACGATCGACACCGGAGCTCTTATCGTTTATTAAACTGATTGGTGCTGGATGCAGGTGAATAAATTTGAGTTCCAAATGATCAATAGAGAATCGTGCAATGAAAATACATGGTTGAATTGAACGTTAACTTTAAACTCACTATAGCCTCGAGAGATTTTGTATTGTTTTCACCTGCAAAGGGCACGTAAAACAATCACTTGAGACGATCGTGCAATGCATAGCAATAACTGAGCCCCCACCAACTAATTTGGAAGGACAAATTAGAATGAATGGTTTGATAAGAAAAAGAGAGAAGAGATGACCAGATTCAATAAAACAATGAAGAAATTAAAATAACATATACCTCTGAGGTCAGGGAACCGATGCTTTCTGTTGCCCGAGATTTCCGGCGGGATACCGCCACCGCTTGAATCAAGCCCTGCTCCTTATAAGAATAATTTTGAACATCCCAAGCCAAAACAAAAAGAGACAAGATACATCAATTACACGCGCACACGAGGATAAGCAAATCTTAACATTTGTTTTATCCCTCCCTCGAGAGAGAGGCTTCAACTCATTCAAAAGAGAGAACAGAAATAATACCAAGAAAAGAAACTCAAAGTAGAAGGAAATAAATGAGAATATATAGAGAAATGAAGAAGCAACATATAAGAAGTTGGAAGAGGACAAATTAAGGCACCTTCAGTGGCTGTGAAATAAGCCTCACGTGACACAGCCTGAATAGCTCCGATCTGTCGATTGCAGCAATGAACCAGCCTTATTAACACAATGCGATCATGTCACATGTTCTACGTACGTAAATCCACATGAAGATACATATATATATTATATATATATATATACACACAAGAGAGAGAGAGAGAGAGAGAGGAGAGAGAGAGAGAGAGAGAGAAGAGGACCCCAGCAGCTTAAGAAAGCTCTCAGCGATGCGGTTGAGGAGAGGGTGGCCGAAGTCGAAGAAGCCACCTTTCTCGAAGCTACGTAGCTCCTGAAGCAAGGAAGGCCTTGTTTCCAAATTACTGCTGGTCGTGTTCATCATTCACTTCAATACTTGTTTATTTCTTTGATGATTTGTTCTCTCCCTACACCCCTTCCTCCCAGATAATATAATATATATATATATAGGTATGTATCAAAAGAAAGAATTAAGGATATGAGGCTATCTCTATACGATGGAACTGATGATGCAGTAAAGATAGATTTTTGGTCCAAGAGTGAAGATAGAGAGTACATGGTACTTGTGAACAAGAGAACAGAACAAAGCTAGTCAGAGTGGACACGTCTACCTGCCGCGTACCCACGTACCCACGTACGTGTCTTTCTTCTGCGAACTTGGAGGCGTCTCCTTTGCAACTGCTTCGCCACCTGTCCCCTTACCCCTGCAACCAGTTTCTCACTTCGCTTAACCCTCCCCCAATGGAGAAAATACATGATTAGTTTGTTGAAAAACTGAGTTAATTAAACAGCTGCATTAGATTAAGACGCCCATCTAGGTTTTCCACAATCATTTTGTCCACTTATACTCCTTCACAATTTCCAACTCCCTCCACTCTTACACTCATTTACAATTTCCAATATAGAGAGTGTAAGTGGACAAAAGATGAGTGTAGGTTGAAATGTTATTTTTGACATCCCAAAAGCAAGCTATCAATTGAATATTTTATTATTTTTTCTTTTCTTTTCTTTTCTTTTTAATTAAAAATGAATCAACACTAAAACGTAATAAAATAATAATTTAATTTGACATATTAGGTGGAGTATAAAACTGTGTAAAATGTCAAATTGCCACATCAGCCATCAAATTTAAATTTGATGTTTAGTATTTGACATCTCCCTTGAAGATGCTCTTATGTGACAATTTGACACTTCGGAAAAAATTTAATTCCACCTGAAATGCTAAATATCATATTATTTTATTATTATTTTAAAAGCAAATGAGGCTCATACGATGCATCAAGTTTTAAAAAGAGTAAATGATAGTAGGGTCCATGACTAAAAAAATATTAAAATAACATTTAACATTAAGCTTTTTGATATGTTATTTTTGACAAATCTCTTCCGGCCTTCAAATCTATGTAGGATTTGACTACTCGATTAGAGCAACTTTAACCTTCAATTTTTGTCATTCCATGTCCATGTGACAATTTGACATATAAGTTAGAGATGGTCGAACTACTTACTAAAACATTTTACTATAAGTACCCAAAAAGGATGTAGATTCCACGTTAAAATTCATAATTACATACTTTTAAAATTAGAAATGGAACCAACTAAGTAGAGTAGTTAATCTAATTCCAATTCCTTAATTCCCTTACCTAACTTCCTCTATTCATTGCAGATTGGACATAAAGGAGAATTACGCAGCTTCTTCTTATAAAGAACAGAGGAGATAGCCACGTGGCCATTTAAAGCTCCCCACAAGAAGTGACGAATTTTTGGAGTGACATTCGCGTGCCAAATCAACTTCCAGACCCTTTGGTCAATGGACATAGAGGAAGAAGGCCTACGCAAAGAGCTACGGTGATGATGGGTATGAATGTTATGATAACCAGATCTTACCGAGTACTTTCTATTTTTCTCATCCGGCCTCACCAAGCGATCCACCTTCAAGATGCTTCCGATAAGGATCCGTTGAATGGCAAGAGCCTCTTGTGCCGATAATAGAGGCCGAATTATATCCAAGTTCCACAATCTTGAATTCCAATCAATAATGGTCTCCACAATCGCATTTCTATCCACGATGGCACCAGGAATAGGACATAAAGCACCTCCTTGTATGTTGGTAATCCATTTATCAGTCCATATTTTCGCTTGCGCTCCATTCATAATTTGCCATCTTGCCCCATTTAGGATCACCTTCCTTCCTTCAATAAGACTAGCCCATGCCCACGACGCGCTACCTTTGGTAGCCTTCATAAAGTTACACTCAGGGAAGTAACGGGCGTTGATTAAACAGGTCTAGAGAGAATTTGGTTCTATGAGAAGCAGTGGCAGAGCCACAGTGGGGTCATTGGGGTCGCACGACCTCTTGGAAGACATGGAAACCATTGGAGCTGTTGGTGCGACCTCTTGGAGCTGCACACCAAGTGGTCGACGAAATGTCTGAAAGAACAATGGGTTGCAAGCTGAAGAAGAAGGCTAGTGCGCGCCAGTTTTGTTTTTAAAACGACCTGGCCAAAACGACGTTGTTTTGAGCCAGGTTTGAAAATATAATAACAAGACCAGTGTATCCTCTCCAGCCACTGCTTCTCCACAACACAACTTGACGGAATCTATCCTTAAGCCAAAGTTCAAATGTATTTTACATATTCTTGGCCACACATAAGACTTTGCTCTTCAGCCTGTGAGCACTAGCGAAATCTGTCCTTATTTCCATTTTCAACATTGAAGTAAATGTCTTTGTCCTTTTACTTTTATTTATTTTTATATTACTCCATTTACTTAAGTTTACAATGTAAATAAGGAAATACCCCCATTTGGATTCAAATAAAAATACTAGAAAATCAAATTCCCACCAAATCAAAATATGAAAATTCGGTTTTAGTGCAAAATACGATTTAGTCTAAAAATTATGGCTTATTAAGTCTATATATACTTCATATTAAAATCCCATAAAATCAAGTTTTCTTATTTGATGTGTAAGGAATAAAAGCCGCCAAAAATTATCTTGAGAAAATGATTATTCCCAAAAACCATTTTTCATACTTAGTCAATATTGCACCTCCGCTAAAAAATTTATGGGTCCGCCAGTGCCTGTGAGACACTATAATTGAAGTCCAAGCAAAATGGCAAATTGCTATCTATTGGCCTCTGGACCATTACAAAGCATTCTTGCCCCCAGTAATAACAAAGTTTACATTTTAATATCTATCCGAAGTTGCAACTTCTGCCACTCTTGCACCTCAGCCTGTGCATGCCATTCTAATTTTTTTATAATAAAAAATTAAAACTTAGGTAGCAGTTTAATTAAGGAATTTAGGGTAACTACATAATCTCCTCTCTCCTCTCTCCTCCCTCCCTTTTCTATGTGATCTCGAATAAAATGATGCCTCAAGTTTATGTGTTTAGTGCGTATTTGACGAGCCAAAATCCTAACAATCTCCACCTTGGTAAGTCAAACCAAGTCTTGATCGTTGCACCCCAGAGTATCTTTGAACCTCCTTGAAGCAGCTCTGGAAATCTTCAAGAGTCTTCACCTTGGCAATCTTCTTCTTGCCTTATTGCACCTCAAGTGAGGAGGTGCTCCACTTTAATCAATCAACGAGATTGATCAAGTTCAAGCAATGCTTGAACTTCTTGGCCGGCACTATCTTTGTAAGGAAATATGCGGCATTGTCATCCGTATGAATCTTTTCAATCCAAATCTCCTTAGACTTCACCCAATTTCTGATTCTGTGATATCTTGCTTCAATGTGCTTTGATCTTCCAGAAAAAACTTGATTCTTTGCCAAGTGAATGACACTTTGACTATCACACTTCAGCTTCACACAATCTTGGGTGATTCCCATTTGACTTACCAAGCCACTAAGCCAAATTGCTTCATTTCCAACTTCAGCCAATGCAATATATTCTGCCTATGTGGTCGACAAAGCTGTAATTGGTTGCAGTAGTGCCCTCCAACTGTCCGGTCCTCCTGCGCATGTAAACACATAACCAGAAGTTGACCTTCTCTTGTCCAAGTCCCCTACATAATCGACATCCATATATCCCAACACCCCTGCATTTTCTTTTTGCTTCTCAAACATAATCCTTTGTCGCTAAGAACCCTTCAAATAACGCAAAATCCACTTGACTACATCCCAATGTTGCTTTCCTGGATTTGCCATGTATCTGGAAACAACACTGATTGCTTGAGCTATGTCGGGACATGTGCATACCATTGCATACATAAGGCAGCCCACGACATTAGCATAAGGCACCTTCTCCATTACTTGCTGGTCTTCCTCGGACTTAGGACACTGTTGCCCACTTAACTTGAAGTGAGCTGCCAAAGGAGTCGAAACTAACTTTGCTTCTTGCATGTTGAACTTCTCAAGAACCTTCTGAATATACTTGGCTAGTGATATCCAGATCCTTTTAGCAGTCCTATCTCTCTGAATTTCCATGCCAAGGATCTTCTGTGCTGCACCTAAATCCTTCATGTCAAACTCCTTACTCAACATCTTCTTCAAGTCTTGAATTCTAGACTTGTCTTGGTAAGCGATTAGCATGTCATCCACATATAGCAATAGCAATATGATCATCCCATCTTGGAACACATGATAGTACACACAACAGTCATATAAACATCTTTTAAAATTGATTTTCAGCATGAAGTAATCGAACCTCTTGTACCACTGTCTTGGAGACTATTTCAGGCCATACAAGGACTTCCTTAGCTGACATACTAGGTTCTCTTTCCCATATTCAACAAACCCTTCTGGTTGAGCTATGAAAATTGTCTCCTCTATACCCCCATGAAGAAACAATGTCTTCACATCCATCTGCTCAATCTTCATGTCATGCTGAGTTGTCATTGCTAAAAGTAATCTGATAGAAGTATGCTTGATTACGGGTGCAAAGATCTCATCATAATCCACCCCTTCCTTTTGTGAGTACCCTTTAGCCACGAGCCTTGCTTTGAATCTCACAGCATCTTGTTCATGTAGTCCATCCTTTTTCCTAAATACCCACTTGCATCCAACTAGCTTTCTATCTTTGGGCTTAGGAACCAACTCCCAAACAGAGTTCTTGTAAAGAGACTCCATTTCTTCAGTCATAGCACTTATCCAACTATCTCGCTCATCACTTTCTATAGTTTCTCGATAAGTAGTTAGATCTCCTTGACTAATGTTGAGAGCATAATTAACTTCGTCTTGTCAAACCCAAACTTGTCAGGTTTCTTCTTGTTCTGATTAGGTTTGTCCAGTGCTATGCATCTCTAAAATGCAGATGGATTGTTGGTTGAAGTTTGAACCCATTGGGATGTCTGGCAGATTAGAGTGCCTTCAATCTGCCCTGTTTCTTGCTCCACCTGATTCCTAACTGGTGAACGATGCTAATGCTCTTCTTCCTTAAAACCATCATATTCGGCATCTTGCTTGCTCAATTTGCTCCACTTGAGCTTCTTCTTCGTTTGAACTGATTAACGGAATCTTTGTTACTTCAATTTCAGCATCATCTTTCTTCTCCCTACTACTCTCAACTTTATTCAGAAGCATGGTTGTCTCATCAAAGACAACATCTCGACTGACAACTTTTTTCCTATTATTGATATCCTAAAGCTTGAAACCCTTCACTCCTTTCTCAAAACCTAAGAATATGCAATATGTAGACTTTGGTTTGAGCTTGGACCTTTCATCATTTGGAATATGTGCATAAGCACTACAGCCGAATACCCTGAGCTTGGAATAGTCCACCGACTTCTCGAACCATACCTCTTCTGCACTCTTAAAATCGAGAATTGTAAATGGTAATCTGTTAATCAAATAACTTGCATGATTAACAGCTTCTGCCCAAAAACTATCAGGCAATCCTGCATGAAATCGCATGCTCCTCTCTCTCTCCATGAGAGTTTGGTTCATCCTCTCAGCAGCTCCATTTTGTTGGGGATTCTTCTTTACTATGAAGTGCCTTATGATGCATTCCTGCTTGTAGTAATCGGTAAACTCATTACTTGTATATTCACCTCCATTGTCACTTCTCAGGTACTTGATCTTTCTTCCGGTTTGATTCTCGATTTCTGTTTTCCATTCCTTGAACTTTGCAAAAACCTCGGATTTCTACTTCATGAAATAAACCCAAACCTTCCTAGAAAAATCATCCATGAAAGTAACAAAATACCTGGCTCCACCATTTGATTTGGTTGGTGCAGGGCCCCAAACATCCGAGTGAATATAGCTGAGTTGCTCCTTGCTTCGGTTATCTGCACTGCTACTCGTGAATGATACCTTCCTTTGCTTTCCAAGAACACAATATTCACAAAAATCCAGTTTGCAAGATGACACGCCTTCCAATAGGCCTTGCTTGTGTAATTCTTGCAACCCTTTCTGGCTTATGTGCCCGAGCCTATGATGTCAGAGTTCAATCTTGTCTTATATACCTTGATTTACAGAAACAGCTGCTCCCCCAACTATAATGATCCCAATTAACTCATACATCTTATTTGGTTGTAAGTCACCCCGCATTACCACCAGTGATCCTTTGGCTACCCTGAGTCTTCCCTTTTTAGACTCATACCCATAGCCGGCCTCATCTAAAGTACCCAAGGAAATCAAATTCTTTCTTAGTCTAGGGACATATCTAACATTCCCCAAAACTCGTATCATCCCATCAAACATTATGATTCGAACAGTGCTGATTCCTTTTACAAGACATAAAGAATCGTCTCCCATTAAAACTTCCCCGCTGCTGACTTCTTTGTAAGTATCGAACCATTCTCTTACTGCACACATATGAAAAGTGCATCAGGTATCCAAAATCCAATTTGTGAAAGCCTTGGAGCCTGATGTTACTGAAAGAAGCTCCATGTCACTCTCATGCTCGGTGACTACACTAGTTGAACCTAAGCTTCATTCCCTCTTGGCTTTCTTCTCTTTCCAAATCTTGTAGTTCCTCTTCCAATGATCGGTTGAACCACATTCGAAGCAACCTTCCTTCTTTTCCTTTTTCTTCTTGGATTTTGACCTACCTTTGTTTCCTGTTTTCTCTTCTTTTGTCTTTTCCCACCTCCTCTCCTTGCCTTTGGCATAAAGGCCTTGAGAGCTTTCAATTATATCATCTAGTTTAGCATATGATTGAAGAGCTTGAATTACGTCTTCAAGCTTCAGGGACTCTTTTTCAAACATTAGAGTTGTTCGAAAGTGCTTGAAAGACGAAGGTAGAGACCTCAGCAGGATGATAGCCATATCATTATCTTTGTAAGTTTATTCAACCTTTTGAAGATTAGTTATGCAATTCTGGAACCTGCATACGTGATCTTCAATATCACCTCCTTCTTCCAGTCGAAGTCCGAATAGTTCATCCTTTAGAAAAAGTTTATTGGACACGGTTTTGCCTATATAAACATTCCCAACTTTTCTCATGCTTCTTGGGCAGTCATCTTTTCAATGATGTGTGACCAAACTAATCTTGTGAGATGGATCTTGATGGAACTCTTGGCCTTCTTGAGAACCTTAGTTCATGCTGTGTATGTCATACTTGTTGGTTTCTCACCGTTGAGTGCATCATCCAACTCTTGCTGTATCAGTACGTTCTTCATCATCCTTGCCGTCAAAGGGCTTTAACGCAAGTCCTAGATCCGCAATCATCTTCCCTTTAGACATCGTAGAACCCCTTAACCTAGCTCTTGATACCAATTGTTAAATAACCCGCCTTTTAGATCTTGTTCTTTAATGTAACCAACGGCAATAGACTAAACTAGCAAATATTTGAAAACTTAGAAACACACAGGAATTATACTGGTTCGGCAGAACTTTTACCTACGCCCAGTTGTGATTTCTCTACCTAGAGAAATCACCGCTCCTTTGATTAATAATAGAGATTACAGAACTTTTGCAACCCTAGAACTAATCTCAAACTCTTGGCTGTCCCTGGCTGTTTTTCCTCTCTAAAAAAAAGCCTTGCCGCACCCTATTTATAAATATAGAGTTGGCTTACATGTCCCAAGGTTGATTGAATTCTTATTCCTAAGTGGATTAGGAAATTACACTTATCCAAATCCTAATAGACTTCTAGAAATCCAAACCCAAATTGAATAAGGAAAACAGAAATTCTTTCCTAATCCCTTTAGGACAAGAATTGGTATACCTCTAATTTTCCTAAAACAATCCTAAACCAACTAGGACATATTTGATGAGCCAAAATCCTAACAGGTTTTTGACAACTACACACCCCAACCCCAGCAAGTCCTCAAGGCCATTTTCGGCCAGGTAAATGAAAGATTCTCTCTAAAGCAATTTACCACCTCTTCCACCACGAGATCTGTCCATCCCTTTGCCTAAGCTTCATGGGCTGCCCCTTTTGAGCCTTTTGTCAAAATAAATGTTGATGCCACTTGGCAGAAAAGCACTTGTCCTGCAGGGGCTGGCATAATTATTCGTAATTTCGATGGGAGATTTCTGGGGGCCAAATCTATGGCTTTTCAAGCGAAGAATCCTCTTGTGGTGGAAGCAACTGCGTTATGGGAGGGCTATAAGTTTGCTGAGGAATGGGGTCACAACATGGTTTGTTTCAAGTCGGATTCTCAGGAGCTTATCAAAAGTGTTTGTGGCTCTTTTGGTAGAGGGAGTTGGACTTTGTACCCAATTCTTACCCTCATCCGCGATGAGCAACGGTGTTTTGAAGGGTGCGGGTGGAATTGGACCACCAGGAATTGTAATCAAGCGGCGGATCATCTTGCGTCGTTGGCACTATCGAGGAGGAGTACGGAAATTTGGGTTGAACGACCCCCCACCTCTCTTGTACACATTCTCTGTAAGGACGGACTCCCTTGTCCTCACCATGCTTAATTTGGCTTTTGACTGGTCTTGACTCGTTTTGACATCCTTGTGGTTGGATTGTCTATCCTGGCGTTTCTTTCTTGGTCAGTTTAAATGTATTTGCTTGATTTATTTTGTCTCTTCTTGCATTGTCTGTTCCTTGCTTGGTCAGCTTTGTTTGCTCTGTATGGGTTTCTTGCTTTGGGGCTTCTTTTGCTTTGAAGAGATCCTTTCGACCAAAAAACAAAAAGCCCTTCCTCTATTCATAGCTTCTTTCATTCTATGCCTTAATTGTTTCGAAACATTTCCTAGCGGAATGGAGCTGCCTACAAATTACAATTACTGTACACTTGTTTTTGGGGTTGCAGGCTAATAAGGCAGACTGAAAACCTTCCAAAAGCTTTCTTGGATAATTATAAAGTCAATAACTAATTTACAGTGAGCTACAAATTGAAAATTTCCACTCATACTACATTTGACGAAAATTGGCCTCTAAACCCACTCCCTACACACACCCACTCTCTCTCTCACTCACTCTAACTCTATTACAACCACTCACCCACTACTAAAACTTTTTTAACATCAGAGGTATACCCACCACCATACAGGGCACGTATTGGTGCCCTATCTATCACAAGCCAAAAAAGAGCCAACATGAAGAAACACAAACTTGTGAACAAACGGGGGAACCTCAAAAACCAAAAGCAAAAAAGATAAAATTGGATATAGAAAATCAAATGCTGATTGAATGTTTTACAAAAGCAAATACTTCGAAGCCCCAAAAAGGCCAAGTGAAGAAGAGAAGACAGGCCCCACATTGTGAGAGTATTGACTTTCTTTTTTCCGCGTCGCAATGGCACACTATACAGTATTCGCTCCTACCATCGATGGAAGCCAGCCATAGACCAAAATTCATCCTCTTCTGCAGGTTCACTTCCTCTCTTTCAAAGTATGTTGTTCATCTGTTGCCTAGGACCTCTTTCTGGCACCAAGCACACATTCACAAGTTGCATCAAGAACATAAAGTAGTAACTGCACTGGCTATGGTTCTAGAATACAACTCAGGATCCATTTACAGCCATTTCTGGTGAGGATTTCGGTGGTATCAATGGGCAATCCTCTCCACCCAACTGTCTATTCTCTGATGTGCCATGCAAGCGATCAGAGCAGCCTCTAGAAGTGGCAGGCTCCTTCTCTCTATTATCCTCATCCTCTGAATTGTTGCTATCAGCACAGCTCCTAGAAACAGCATGCTCATTTTCTTGATTTTTCCCTTCACCTGAGTTGCTGACCCCATCAGCTGTGTGAGTTGTATGCATGTTGCTTGCAGTCTTCTTATTCGGTAGCACTGCCTGGCTTAGAGTTGTACACAAAGCAGCAAACACACTTTCTTTTGGCTTGGAGTTTTTACCTAACCGTTGCCTCTTTGCAAGCTCAGGCTCCCTATCCTTAGAAGCCAATTTCCGCTTCAACCTAAGGGACTCCATTGTTCCTTCATCTTCATCGGAGGTTTCGGGATGTTTCCTGGGCGGTGGCTTGTAGTCTTCGTCATCCTCATCATCATCATAATCTACCAGCCCGACAGACCTTGGACTACAAAATTCAATGAAAGTATGGGTTATATAGCAAAAATATTCTGAAAATGCACTCTGTGATAAACTAAATACGAACAGTACAATACCTGGATGGTGGATGGTTTGCAGCAACACCATTGGATAATACAGGCTGAGGTTGTGCCTGTACTTTTTGGGTGTTTGGCATGGATGCAGATGCTGTATCTTCTTCATCACTGATTACCAAGTTCCATATTCAGTGGCTATGGGTAGCAAAACTTAGCAGCAAAGAGCGCTGTCAATCTCAATAGACGTTCAGCACAAAAACATACCTGTCCTCATTAAAATAATCTTCTTCTTCTTTCTCCAAAGCACGCTCATCAGTTCGTTTTCTAGGGTCTGACACATTGGTGCTTCCTTTTGGTCCAAAACTTTCTAGGCACTGCAAAAGCACTTGTCAACTTGTCAATACAAAAGATCTAAATCTAGGAGTGGAAGAACTCTAGGAGGAGCATAATACCTGCTCATATTTTACTTTTAGTGCTTGAACGGACGCAAAATACTCAAATTTGACCAACTGATCCCAGAATGAATCAACCAAGTATTTGACCAATGCTTTCAGATTTTCCTGCAAAAACAAAAGCGTGGATTAGACTATAACTTCAAGACATGCTTTATCTCCAAATAATAAGGTCTAAAAGAGAGTGGAACCTTCCGAATGAACTCAAAAAGTTCTAAAACAGCAGAGTTGAGCAGGTTATATCGATTTCCATTACCAACAAATGCACCTACAATCGGCTTGAGAAGGTTGTTCTTAACAATATGATTTATCAGATGCTCATCCTGCAGATTTATACATTATTCCAAATGTTACATGAATAACCTAGCCCACCAAAAATAAATGTATCATGGAGAGAGAGAGAGAGATGTACAACAGGAACAAAGATAATCCTTAATATTCTTATATGGTTACAATTAGTTGACAACTTGTTTTTTTTTTTTTTTTTTTTTTTGTTTTTTTTGTCTAAACTTGTCCACAGCATTGTCAATTGCATAAGATCATCTCAAACAGCTAAACTGCCCTTTGTAGCCAACATGACGCAGAAACAAGAACCATTTTGTATTACAACTACTCTCATATGGAAAATAAATAAATTCAATGCAACTGCCATGCTCAAATCAAAACAATCCATACCATGCATTCACCTCTAGTCTTGTATGGAAATTCACTCATCTTAACTTCCCTTGAAGACCATTTGGGTCTATTTCAAATCCTAACTGAACTGAAGGACGAATGAAACTTATTTTACAATCAACACAAACTCACATGACGGGATAGAATAGTGCGAACAAATCGAACTGCAGCAACAACTAGATACTTTTCCCTTCTTTGTGTTACCAACAAAACTTTATCTATGACGTTATTAAGAAGAAAGTTACACCTGCAAATGACAAAACCCAAACATTAAAATGTCACAGGTCAGCAGCAGAAATCTATTTATGAAAATTGAAGAGGAATCCAAGATGTTACTTTATTCTGTATGGATGGTGAAGAACACAAAAGCAGAGCAATTCACATATGTTTGACAGTATTTCAGGCTTTGCGACATTTTGATCAATTGATTGAGCATTGCCTTCCAAAGGACATGACGCTGTTATAACATCAATTAACTGACCCAGATGCTTCTCATAGAAAATCTCAATAATTGCATCTCTCTGTAGGAAAAGCAAACGAGATAAAAAAATACTCAATAACCAACTCATCCAGATACAAGCATAAAAACAAGGCTTGAAAAAGAAATTATTCCTTACATGCAAGTTTTACTGACATGATTTTCCAACAATTCAGCAGAAATATAATAAACTACAATTCAACATTCAAAATGTTACACCTGCATAAATAAATTCATACGTATTGCAGACTCCAAATGCAGCTTCACTATATATGAAGCTTCTACAATTGTGAATTTGTGCTAATAAAAAATTAACAATACTCTGCATAAAAGAGCAATCCAAAGATTTACGAGATGGAACAGAACAAAATTGGTCATGAAAAGTAACAGCAACAGAGATTTGAATACAGTGAATATGAAAAATGCACAACTAGAACTTCCCCAAAATGAAAATGGACGCAAAATCATTGTACATAAAACAAAACAATGACCTCGCCCGAGTGAACTGAAAACACAACAATAAAAAGTAGATCATATCAACGAAATCTAAAATTAACCAGACACCTGAAGGTCATGAATTAGATAGTAGTAAAGGTAATCTCCTATTCGATGGTTCAATAACCAAATTCATAAAGCCTCTCATTATGTTTCTAATATTATACATTTAATATGTAACAAGTTCTAGTGAATATAGCAACAAGAAAGTTATGTTATTCAGGAAATAGAAGCTCCTAAAACAAAAAAGGCAATTATTCATATCGTCCAAATAGTGTTTAACATGTTCACTAAAAAATTATGCTGCAAATGTTACATGCACGCATATGACCACATGCACAAAGATACATGAACACTTACATGCATATATACAAATACACTATGCCCCTCTAACCTAGGTGGACCTGCTGGTAAAGTTACTGGTACGGCATTAGTTGATTGTGATGGAGAAGTTGGAATTTAAGAATGAAAAAGAGTGTAGAGGAAAGGACATGAGAGGAGACAAAAGATGAAATCCACTGTAAGCTATTAATACATAGGGAGACAATAGGTGAGTTCCCCCAGAGAGTGACAGTAATATAGTGCATCTTGATTTTCTGGGCACAATTCATGGAGCCATAACTACAAATTTCTTGACATACTCATGTATAAACTTAATCATTCAAAAATATATTTATTGAACAAAAATTTACTAGAGCAGATACCTGAGCTCCTGACAATGTGTATGAATCTAGTAGACTACGAAGAATTTCAAGAAACTGACAGTGCATGTCTTCCCCAAAATCTGTAATCATTCCTTTAACCTGTAAGTAGACCATTAAATATCAATATCATAGAGGTAACACAAACGCTTGCATTCGCATTTAAAAATTTCAAATGTGGATCCCAAAAAAGACTCTGCCTGCTCCCATGCAGTTTATCAAACTAGGATGCAAGCACATCTCAAATTATACAAATTAAGGGGAAAAAAATAGAATCCTTTCAGATATGCTTGCCATGATCATTGAATATGCATATGGAAACATTCCATCAGAAGCTAAGTATCAAAGCTAAACCATTACTTTTCATCTTTTCTTTTTTTTTCTTTTTTTTTAAAACACTAATCCTAACCTAATACCAGTTTTAACTTTGCAGTGCATACAATCCTCAAAACAAAGCTTCACAAATATAACCTGTGTTCTAGCTTAATTAGGTCCATAAAACAGGGTTTAGGCCCATTGAAATTTGAATAATTCACTAGGTTTAACACAGTTCAACTATAAGATTTCTTTCGAGCTCAACTAACACAGGTTATTGTCTGGTGCACGTCGCATTTCATACACAAACACTAAATTAAAAAAGTGCATACCAAGAGTCCTAGAAGTGGTATTCCTTCCTGACGAACAACATATGAACGAAGAAGGTTTGGATCCTGATTCATGAAAAGATTGAGGATATCTGTCCTGCATCCATTTAATCACCAATTGTCAGGACTATGACACAACGAAAGAAACAGATAAGCAGAATGACAAGCACCAGACTACAGAGAACAGATACTTTAAGTTCATGATTACCCAGTTAGTACAAGCTTTTTATCTTGACTCTGCAAAGCATCGGTTACAATGTCAAAGATTCCTTCATTCATGAGATCCCTACAGGAATTTAGGTTTTCACTCTTAGAAACACAGGCATTATATAAGATAAAAGAATATTAGCCAACCCCCGTAAAGATAAGCAGCCAAAATATGAAAAAGGCAACAGAGAGCTGCAAAACATAATGGAGGTTCAAGAAATATAACTTCAGGGATTGTTTACCTAAACAGGCGGAGCTGCTGGACCATTGGCAGGCTTTTGCTTAAACTACAAAACTCATGCAAGAAATATACCTACAATACGAAGGGGAAAAAAATGATAACCACGATCAACATTGAGGTACATCAAGAAAATTATCCACACTGCACTAACAAATTTTAAGGTCGCTATCATTGCTATGGCTATAGTCTCTTTCACAACATCAAAATCCTAATGATTATATCAAAATTCAGTAAAGTTTATGGTAATGACATTAAAAAAGTAACCATGTTACTAGCAAGATAGTGTTTAACTTTGCGACATTAATAAATACTAAACCTTTATTTTCATTTCTAATTAAACTGTCGGAGGGAGAAGAAAATCAAATGAAACAGAAAGATAAATTACACAATCTAAACGACCAATTACATATTTGTGAACTATCCCTTCAGGAAGTGCACTGCATCATGCCTCAGATAAACAATGAAAGAGCGCTTATGGAAATCAAAATTACCAAGTTCCTTTTAGATTCTGCAGAGGTGGACGGTGACCTTAACCTAGCAAACAATTCCTGAATAAAGGTACTGTCGTCCTTTAGCAAAGAAACAACCTACAACAGATTAGGAACATTAGGATTATTGTAACACACAGCCCTCCACATGTTTAAAGAATGAGTTGTAAAATCTTACAATAGCATTGTTTGCATGAATTATGGAATTGAGATTTCCAACCGTGGCCTCATCCAGTACTCTAGCCAAAACAACATCCTAAAGAAGTAGTCGAAAGTAAGACTTACTAACAAAGAAGTAGGTAAAATGAAAAAGTTAAACAGAACAAAAGACAAACCTTTAAATATCCAACTTTATACGTCTGGTGTATCTTTGACAGAACCATATGATCTTTAATTGGTATGGCCTGTGCAAAGTAAATTTATAAATACAGATACATGAGATAGAACAAACAACTCCCATATGCATTAAGATGCTCTCCAACATTTCTATTCCTTATCCCCAAATCCCAACCACACAACCTAAAGAAAATTATTACCTCCTTAAAAACAACATGCTCTTTTAGAAAGTTACGATGGTGTTGGACATGAGGTACTTCAGGGTCATCTGCAATCCAAAATTCAAGTTTTTCAACATATCAAAATAATACTGAATCATAATGAACTAAGAACCGAAGTACCAGGCGACAACTAAATTGAATTCCAATACAGAAGGTTATCATGAAAGAACACAAACCAATAACAGAACTCACATTCAAGGGAACCAATGACATCCATGATTAAATCATCACCAAATATTTTCTCAAAGATCTGAGGACTATTCAGCAGAACTGCAGGTAGGAAAACACATATCAGTCAGTAATAAAAGGAATACATACATTTATGTGGCATATTTTGAGGGTAAAATACCATAAAGGAATACTTACTGATCCCCCTTACTATTTTGTATATCATGTGAAGACCATCAACATTTTCCAAGTCTTCACAGATTCTAAATAGGCCCATGAGCTTTCGGAAAAACTCTTGCTGCGTTGAGATTAAAAGACTCGTTAGAAAAAAACCAACAAGCTGTATATGAAGGTTACAATACGACAAATTTTATGATTAAATCTAACTAAATTCGACCTACTGCAACAATTGATTTTTTATTGAAATGAAATAACCTTGCTAACTAATCCACTATCCATTTCTTCGGAGATCCACAAAGTTATACAAAGCTTACATCAGTCAATATCAGTTCTGTCAATCGCATCTGATCAGCAATGCCACTCTCAGCTACAGTCTGCATCACATATGCACATGAATTGTCATCACTTCGCATGTAACTTGCATAAATATAAGACATTCCACAAGGGAAAAACAAAAGATAAGAAAAGCTTGAAAAAAGTGAAAAATGTGGAAAGCAAGAAAGATAAAACCAATAATATGAGATGCAAAAGAACTGTCCCACCTTCAGGATTAAAGGAAGTGTCGATAGCTCAACCACAGGTAGCTCCCTTAACTCACTGTTTGCACTGTGAAATGTCTCATCTACAGATATCACATAAGATCAACAATTCATGCTCCGAATTTGAAACAAATAAATTTAAAGAGCGTGTGCACACACAATGTGATCAAAAATCAACGACAAAGAAATCTGAAGGAATTTAGAAAAGAATGAGTGTAATGTCCCTCCACATTTGTTCCCCATTTCTTCAAGATATTTCTACCTTTCTATGCTACACATGGTCATCATTTGAATTTCAACAGAACTTTATTGCTATTCATATTACTTGAAACAATTCCACTCCTTCGCACAACAGAAAAATCTATGATTGTTAGAACACTATTCATTCTCAGCACATAAAAGTTGAAATATTAATCAACCAATGGCTAGAACTTGCCTAACTTCAATTGCTTAAGGCGATGCCCAAATTCATTCTTTGGACATTTTACAGGGATAAGCCTGCTGAAAGGTACCTTAACAGTTTCATCATGCATTCTCGTATTAAATATCTTGTTTTCTGGAGCAACTTGTTAGTCTTATAATATAGAGATTACAGAAAACTCTGTAGGGTTCCACTTCCATAAACAAGGAAAACTAATTCTTTAATCAATTACTCGTGACAGAGAATTCTTTCATCAAGAAAAAATATCCTCATGCACTTTAGTTAAAAAAAATAAATGAAAAACACAATATGTAGTAATAGTATTCACTAAAAATAAGATTAAAAATACAAATATCCGACCTCTGTAGATATTGATCACTTCTCTCTGACAAGCTTCAAAATCTACAGAGGTTGGTTATTTCAAAAGCAGAAAAAGGAAAGGGAATACATTTTAAATCATTTTGCAAACACTTACTGTTAAGAGAATTAAAATGTAAATTCCTTTGGACACTGCATATGTGGTCCCTGAATAGAGCACGGAAAATAATTAGTAGAATCAGAAGATCAAGGACCATGTTAAAAGGAAGAACAAGGGAAAAAATTTGGTAGTTACCATATGTAAGAGCAGCCAGTAGACTCCTGAAAGCTGAGAGCTAATTCCGTAGAATATTCTGGATCCCTCCATGAGATAATTGTATCTTAACAAGAAATAATCCAAACTCCACAATTCAGTATCAATTCTAGCCACTTGAGGACACCATATAATAGCAAATTAACATTATATTATCTATCTATTAAAAAATAAAATACCTTCTTGCTTTCTGTAGATATCATCCGAACTGATACGATGCAGAAGTAATGTCTCATTATCTTCTTCATCAATAACAAATAAACCCAGCTCTTCTGATCTCTGTGTCACAACAGTTGCATTCAATCATAATGCATATCAAGAAATCATTTCTAAGGAAACTTGACTCCAAACAAGTCATTTCTCACAAATTTACTATGCCCCTATCAGATTGGCATAGCTTTAAACCAATGAGATTAACAAACCTCCATATAGTCAACCGTAACATGGCCTGTTCCCTGATCATCCCATTTTCCATCTTCATTCAAACGATAGACCTTAACACGCTGAGATACATAAAAGAAAAATTAGACCAAAAACTTCTACCACATTCTATATACCAATATTACAACTGCAAATTTAAACTATAAGATGCTACCCAGAGCAGATACAAGTCAGGCATCAACATGGCACTAGCACTCCATAGATAATTTATATACCATGTGACATGTCAACATCTTTTCTCCACCCAACACTTCATCGAAAAGGCTGAACCTGACTTGGAGGTTGTGATGTTTTTCAAAAAGGACAGCAACAATAATGAGGATAATGAGGATTGTTAGCCCAGTGAAGTTCTTTATTATTCTGGAAGGGTCTTTTCTTGTATTTTGATTTAACTAGACGTAATGGTTTGATTAAGTTATAACTGCTGCTTTGCATACTTAAATGAAATCATTTACCATATAAGTTTAGATAAATTAGTTGCATCTAGCCATGTAACGTCATAATCTTTTTTGAGATTCTACAACCCACCGTGTTCATATTGTGTTGGTTCTTCGAAGCACATAAACAAGTAAAAGTGTAAATCCACAATCAATTGAGTCACTATAATACCATAAAGAGATAATTACCAAAGACAATAGTTTTATATGCATATGCAAAATTCTAAGAACTCACAAATACATACAAAATATAAAAAATGAGGATAAAATAGAAATAAATATATTTAAAATATGTGATGGAAAAGTTTCCTTAAGAAAAATTTAAATTAATGGCATTGCTTTCCATTTTCTTAACATGATAAATAGGGTTAAGGCAATAAATTTCAGTACTGTCACAAAATGTGTCACTTGTTCAACGCAGTTCCTTAAGATTATTAAATTTAACATCATTCTGCTCAGAAATCTAGTTGTTATTATGGGAAAATATAACGGTCCAAAAGCTAGTAATCTAGTACAATGAAATTGGTATTGTAGAGATCACCAACTTAAAAGAAAATAATAGATGCCATCGAAAGGTTGTAAAGTCAATCTACGTCATCAACACGTCATCTGATGAGGAAATTTTCTAAGAAAGACCAATACTGCAGCACAAACAAAACGACAACGACGACAGCAATCCTCCAAATTCTTCAGTTTCCAAGTTAGAGAAAACAGAAATATCCAAAAAACCACAACCAAATTAAGCTGGGGCCCACATTTCAAGGTCCAGAACCTAACTAAATTAGGCGTGATAAAAGGTATAAATATTTGCATGGAGCTCAAACAAGCTGTGAATAACGAAAGAATTCGAATATACTGCTCAGCCTACCCCACAAAAAACTACCAATGAACTCTTTCCCATGATAAATCATCTATAATCCTCCTCCTTCAACTTATACGGAAGTAGTATCAACCACAGAGACCAAGAGCTTTAACAATTCCCAATTTCAAAAATAAACTCTATCACATCCTTCAACCTAAAGCAGTGCCTTTGTTAATACTTCAATGCTACAACTTCCCTCAACAGATCAAAAGATACTTTTAGAAAGTTCCTTACCAGCACATGGAAACGGCAATTATAGTCACCTTTCCAGTGAAGAACAGTATCCTTTCTATTAATAGAACAGAAAACAAGTAACACTGTGTATCTATTGACTCTCTTGTTAAACGGTGCCACACACTTCACTGCAACACCTCTAAGAGCTCAACCAGCTGATATGATATGAACACTACTTTTAAAACTTAAAAACGCCTCGGAGAACACAAGCAAGATTTAGTTTTGCATCGAAATCCTAACGGAATAGAATTTGAAATGTTATCATTCCCCAAACACATATAGCCAGCTCCACCCAAATGGAATTAAATTAGCTAACAAAATTAAACAGAAAGCAAAACCAAATATCCAATTGAGAGTGAACAAAATCAACCCCGAGCTTCAAAATTCGAAAATAACAAAAAAGACTGTATACACTGCGATTCTAGGTCAAAGTATTGAGCTTCCTAATTTTGTAGAAAAGCACACTCACCTGCATCGAATTGGTATTGGCCTGTGATTTCTCCGGCGCACCCATCGGAGCTCCCTACTCTGCGATTCAAATTTCGTAGCTAAAATTGGGTAATTGGGTAAGAGTCTGAATCGAACAGGAGAATTTGACAAAACTTTCAATTAGGGTTTTGAGGGCGGGGCAAAAGAGAGAAGATGAGGGCAGAGGCAGGTGATTAGGGTTCCCGGAGATCAGTAGAAAACCCTAACCGCCATTAACGTAGCAGTGTGAACCTAAGAATTTTCTCGCGCTTTCTCTCTCTCTCACACTCTCTCTCCGCTTTTTATTCTTTTCTGTGCAAGTGTCTGAGCCCCGACCTTCCCCTTCGATAATTAGAAGAAAAGTGGAAAACTATTACGCATGTTAGAAATTGTCATATGCCCGTTATGCCCCTTGTTTTCATGTGAAATTACGGTGAAGCCAATGACCATAGAGTCCACGCACTATCCACGCGCTTTCTTTTCGCGATCAAATCACGAGAGAGTTGGTATATCATATGCGTTGCTCTGCCCTGAAAAGCGGGTCCCTTACCTGCCTGTAGCTGAAAGACGCACACGTTCGCTTCTGATTGGCTGCTCAAGAGTATAACACGTGTAGCTTCTAGTAACTAGCTGTGACGGAACGGAACTTCGCAACTCCTTCCGGTCGCCAAAGAACAACCGCGCAGGTTGCACCAAACTTTGTGCAACCGAGATGTATGATTAGTCTGGCACCTTTTGCTAGTTCATTTGTGTTTGTGAGAACTTGGAAAACTAAAATCTAGTTGAGATGTGACGTGGCTTATGGTGAGTGGATGGATGAGATTATACGGTTAGGATGGGAAAATGAGTGAACCTAGAGTTCGCCTTTTCCAGAAAATGTTCTTTATAATCATGCACTCCACCAAAAAACAACACATAATATTATTTTATAATAAAAATAAAAATGTTTCTCAAGTATTTTCTGGTATTTTCATCAAAGGAATAAGGATCCACATGACATTTTTGTTCTTATATGCTACCAAATCTATGGGACAACATGCACTAAATTTTAGTGGGTTGCAGTACCTGTTTGGCATTACTTATTTGGAGAAAAAAGTTTTTTTTTTTTAAATTCTTCCACCTGCATGTTTGGTAAACGAAAAAAAAGAATCTGATTTTCAATTACATGAAATGGATAATTTGCTATGTTGAATTTTGATGGTTGAATTGCATTCAACATAAGTCGTGAAATATTAATGTCAATTGAGGTTTGAGTATGTTTAATATGGTTTTTTTGGTTTTTTTTTTTTTTTTTTTTTTTTTTTTTTTTGAAGAAGCTGCTTTCTCTAGACTCTAGCTTGTGTTAGAGGAAGGTGCTAATTGGCAATTAACAATGAATTTTTGTGACTTTATTGTAACTTATTCTTAGAATCAATCAAATTATATGCTTTACATATAAGAAAATTCGATGAAGTAAAATATCGATGGTTCAATTAAAATGAAGATAAAGTTACTAATATTTTTTAAATTAAAATAGAATTATTATGATGATTCATTTTATAGACATTAGAGCTCAATTCATTCAAACTGGTTAAATCAAATCAATTTGAGCAGATTGATTAATTTTATGCTAATATAGTGTAAACTTGGACTAATATGAATTAAATTGCAATTAGTTTGGTTTAATAAAACTTTTTTATGTGCTTTTAGTAAAAACACTTCAAATAAAAACATTTCCTCCATAACTAATCCAAACAGACCAAAGTAAGTGAGTCGCGGATATATAATAGACCAGAAAAAAAAAGACATATAGTATATTTATGTGAAAAATCACAGTTATGCTCTTACAAATAACTACAATTGAAAGTACTCCTTAAATCAAATCATACTGTATAAATTATGAGAAGTTGCATCATTTTGTTCTTTTGAGAAATAAAATTCATTGGCACATTGCTCAAAAGGAGTAATTTTGAAAAGGAATTTATATTTTTTCACATTTTTACCCGTACTCGTCACACCAGTTACCGTTATGTTGCTAATTAATTTTGACTGCGAAATGCAGGCCCAGTGCGCATTTTAGCAAGCAGAGGAGAGGACAATTAACAACAGATAGTAGAGCCCAGAAAGACAGTGAGTTGTTCATCTGCCGCACTTTGATATATCCGCCTGCTCCTACTACCTCTTAAGTCCTCAACGGACGATTCGAGGCTGCCTCCTCATCTCTCTTTCTTCATCCCCCCATAATTATAACAACAAACTTCCCTCTCTCTCTCTCTCTCTCTCATTTCCTTTCATTTGATTTCTCTCTCTTCAGATCTCTCTCTCCTCTTTCTCACATTCCCAAAATGCAGGCCTCGCTCTCTCTCCCTACCCTCTCTCCCACCATTCCCAGATCAAACTACGTCGTTCAATCAAAGCCTATCAATCTCCGCTTCTGCGGCCTCAGAAGAGAGGCCTTCGGCTTCTCGTCTCTCAGCCACTCCGATTCGCACCGAGTACGAGTCTCTGCTCCTTTGCGCTCTGCAACCGTCTCGGTCTCGGCCTCGTCATCCGCTAATGGAAGCCCTCCCAAGTCGTTCGACTACGACTTGCTCATCATCGGCGCCGGCGTCGGTGGCCACGGTGCTGCTCTCCACGCCGTCGAGAAGGTACGGAAACTGCGCACTCACCCTCCTTTATAATTTACTGAGAAATTGCGGCTCTGAGCTTTGGATTTAGCTCAATTGTCACTTTATTGGTTGCTCTTCTAGCTTAACTTCTGTTCTAGTAGCTTCGATCGTCTTTGCTTTTTGCTTAAATAGACTGTACTAGCTAGCTAGAAATGGCTGATTTCTTTCTGTCTTCTGCTGCGGTAAGTTATTCACTCGATCAAAAGTAATGAAAATGTGCATGGCGTAAGTGTATCTGTGTATATCTGATATCATGGCAAGAAATGCATTAGCTACAAGCTTACAATCCATTTTAGTTTGATACTTCAAAATTAATACATAAGACTTAGAATATCTATATGCACGTGTGTTGGTATGTAAGTAAATACTGAATTTATATAACAAACTTAGCAACTATCGTGGTTGCCTTCACACAGTAACAGACAATACTGGAGTTAGAATATAAATTGAAAAATAACTACCAACATACGACGTGGTGGGTTGTTTTTGTTAATATATATATAGAGTACATATTCTCCTGTGTGGGGTTTTTGGAAAAGAAAGGCTCTTGAGTTGGTATTTATTGATTTTTCTTTTTATAACACAACAATTGCAGGGTCTGAAAACTGCCATCGTAGAAGGAGATGTGGTGGGTGGAACATGTGTTAACAGAGGATGTGTTCCGTCTAAAGCTCTTTTGGCAGTGAGTGGTCGGATGCGTGAGCTTCAGAATGAACATCACCTTAAGGCTTTAGGTTTGCAGGTAAAACATGATTCAGTGATATCAATTGTATGTACATTTATATGTATGTGCAGATACAAGATTTTATTGGTTAGTTGTGAAAACTTTTGTATCTTACAGTACTGCTTTATTGTGACTTATTATAGGTTTCAGCAGCTGGGTATGACAGACAGGGAGTAGCTGATCATGCGAATAATCTTGCAACTAAAATTCGTAATAGTTTGACCAATTCAATGAATTCTCTTGGAGTGGATATACTGACAGGTGTTGGTACAATTCTGGTAAGTCATGCTTTTTTTCAAATTGATTTGGTATCAACACAATCAAATGTTTGCGTGCCCAGTTAAGAAATAATCTATGATTAAGTTTGAGCTCTTGCATACAGCACAAGTGCTGGCAAGTTTTCCTAACTTTGGTACTCTTAATATGAAACTATTCAGGGCCCACAAAAGGTGCAAATTGGATCATCTGACAAAGTAGTAACTGCAAAAAATATAATCATCGCCACTGGTTCTGTTCCTTTTGTTCCTAAGGGTGTTGAAGTCGATGGTAAAATTTATATGTTTCCTCCTTGTTGTTATTGAATAGTTGATGAAAGCATTTTGGTCTTAGTACCATGCTTAAGGGATACCTAGTGGTGACTGACTATATGATGGATCTGCAGGGAAGACTGTAATTACAAGTGACCATGCCCTCAAATTGGAGTTTGTTCCAGAGTGGATTGCTATTGTTGGAAGTGGTTACATTGGTCTTGAGTTCAGTGATGTGTATACTGCACTTGGGAGTGAGGTAGTTCCTTTCTTTTTATTTTTTTTATTTTTATTTTTATAAATTACCTTTCATCTGGTGAATTTTACAATTATTTTATGTTAAACTAATGAGCCTAGTCTTCCATTTGAAGAAAACGAGTTTCTATTAATTGTAGTTTTAAGGTCTTATAGCATTAAACTATGGAGACCTTGTATGGATCAATCAGTAACTTCTCCTTGTGTCTACCAATGCAATAAGACACCTTTTTATTTATTTTTGGATGATCTAGGAGTTCTTATCTCATGAGGCAGTCTAGATTAATCTTAAATCTTTTGCAGGTTACTTTTATTGAAGCTTTAGATCAGCTTATGCCTGGTTTTGATCCAGAGATCGGGAAGTTAGCCCAGAGGGTTCTAATAAATCCACGAAAGATTGATTATCAAACTGGAGTGTTTGCATCGAAGGTCAGCTGATGTTTATTCTCTGAATTTTATACCAAGTGTTTTCAGGGTTTCTGTTTCCGTTTTTCATTCTTTGGTTTTTAATAGATCACACCAGCAAAGGATGGGAAACCAGTCACCATTGAACTAATTGATGCCAAGACCAAGGAACCTAAAGATACTCTTGAGGTAATTAATTGGATCTGTTTAAACTTATGTAACGTATCCAAAGGATATATTTTCCTGCCATTAATGGATTTTGTCGTATGAATTTGATAGCAACGGCCACATACTTCACTAGTTGAATAATACCTTTGTCAAGGAACATGTTCTCATCTGTGGAGCTTTAATTAGCTATTTATAAATTAACCTGCTGTAATTTTGTTTCTGAACTCAGGCATATGCGTGTTTTAGACTTCCCAATTGATTCCTGAGTAGCTTGACTGGTTGCCTTATAATTACTGTAGGCATTGTTATTCCAGTTCATATACATATAGGTTATTCAGAGGCATTTATCTGGACCTTTGTACATCCTCTTCTAACAGGTAGATGCAGCATTAATTGCAACTGGAAGGGCTCCGTTCACACAAGGTCTTGGATTGGAGAATGTATGACCTCGCACTTTATATCCATCTAATTTTAGAGTGTATATATATAATTATTCAGCAAACGAACAGCAATAGTTTCTGACATTGCTTTTCTGCAGATTGATGTAGTAACACAACGTGGTTTTATTCCTGTTGATGAGCGCATGCGAGTAATTGATGCAAATGGCAACTTGGTACGTTGCAAATTTCCTTATGAGCATGAACCCTAGCATTAACATTATAAATTGTTTCTGATGTGAATTTTGAACATCAGGTTCCTCACCTATTTTGCATTGGTGATGCTAATGGCAAGATGATGCTTGCTCATGCAGCCAGTGCCCAAGGAATTTCAGGTTAGTGTAACCAACCTGTTTTTATTTGAACCTCTCTCTCTCTCTCTCTCTCTCTCTCTCTCTCTCTCTCTCTCTCACACACACACACACACACACACACACGCACAAATAAGTGATTATCTTCAAAACCTTTTTCAGTGGTTGAACAAGTCACGGGAAGAGACCATGTACTCAATCATTTAAGCATCCCCGCAGCATGTTTCACTCATCCCGAAATCAGTATGGTCGGATTGACAGAGGTGAGTAATTTGCTAATTGACATATTCATTATTCATCATCTATGTATCACAAGGTTATGCTTTTATTTATCAGTGTTTAGCATATTTGACCTTGAATTAGAGATCTTCTAGGTGTCATCATATTGGCAGTTTAACTAATCAATTACAATTTTCAGCCTCAAGCAAGGGAGAAAGCTGAAAAGGAGGGATTTGAAGTAAGTATTGCCAAGACAAGTTTCAAGGCCAACACAAAGGCCCTAGCAGAAAATGAAGGCGAGGGACTTGCTAAGGTGAAAAATATGTACAGAGTACTTGTGTCGTCAATGAATTCTCCTTTATGGTTGCTATGTACTGTGGATATTGACGATCCTGTTTCTGCTTTGTTTTAATGCAGTTGATATACAGACCAGATAACGGAGAGATACTTGGAGTCCATATATTTGGGTTACATGCTGCAGACCTCATACATGAAGCATCAAATGCAATAGCATTGGGGACACGTATTCAAGTAAATAAAGCCCGTAACTGCAAATTATGATGCGCTCCTTGTAATCTACCACTCCTAACTTTCAGTTTACCTATATTCTACCGTCTATTCAACCTTGCAGGATATCAAATTCGCAGTCCATGCACATCCAACTTTGTCTGAAGTGCTAGATGAACTTTTCAAGTCAGCAAAGGTGAGCTGCTGGCTTTAACTTCTTATGCCATGCTGTGTGGCTGCAGTTCTTCTTCCTGATATGTGTTTACCCACATATCTTTTTTAATTGTTGGGGCAGGTTAAAGAGCATGTTTCTAGCCCAGTAAGTGAACCAGTTGCAGTCTAAGCTTCTCAATACTCGAGTATAAATTTTGAAGATATTTGCTTGTAATAGGGAGTTCCAGGAAGTTTTGTATCACAAGACAAAAGAGATCATCAACACCAGGAGAAAATAAGCAACTTAAGGGAATCAAGGACGACTTGGCCCAAAATATTTTTCGCCTTTGTATCTTGGCTTTTTAGTTTTTTTAATGGCTTCAAGAAATACTTGCATTCGTAATTGTTTTCACATGGAAGCATTGTTTTTGTAGTTTTAGACAGCAGCTTTTATAAATAATAGAAAGTTTGCTTTTAATACGAAGGTCCAGTTTGGGATTACTGTCACTTTTAAAAAAAGTTACTTCTGCTGTGCTTTGAAAATAATTAGTTGTAAAGTAAAGCAGCTCTATGTTTGATAAACAATATTTTTAAAGTGCTGTTAGCACAAAAAGCAATGTCAAAACCGTTTGGTAAAGCAATGTCAAAACCATTTGGTAAATTTTAATATAAAATTGTTGTAACTGTGAATATGACTAAAATAGACATGATGTTGAAAGTATTATGTAATAATCATGTGGTGATAATGGTGGTGATGGAGTCGAGGTGGTGGTGGTGATGAAGGTGGAGTTGGTGGTTGTAGTAGTGGTGGTGGTGCTAATGGTAGTTGTGGAGGTGGTGGTAGTGGTGGTGGCAATGGCAACATGGTGGTGGTGTTGGTTGTGGAGGAGGTGGTGGATGTGGGGGTTTTGGAGGAGGTGGTGGTTGTGGTGGTAGTGGTGGTGGTGATGGATATGGAGGTTTTGGAGGATGTGGTAGTTGTGGTGATGGCATTTTGGGAATTAAAAAAATTATTAAAGGTTCATTTCTGCTTCTTTTAAAAGCAGCTTTGAAAAACAACCTAAAGCCTACTTTTAAAAACTGCTGTCAAAAGGCCACTGTTTTTAAAATAATCGGGATATTTTATTTTTACCAAACACCCTAAACTATTTAACTTTAAAGTGAAGCAGATTTTTTGCCAAAAAAAACAAAAAACAATCCCAAACGGGGCCGAAACCCTGTTGTAATTGTCAATAGTATCATTTCCTTTTTAATATTCAAATTTAATATATTTAAAATTAAATTTTTATTTTTATTTATTTTGTCAATTATTTACAATTAAAATTAAAATTAACAATCGTTTTCTAATTTGAGGAAGAAATGTGATATTATAAGTGAATCTGATTTAAATTGAAAGGTACTACTTACTAATTCTTCTAAACTCCCAAAATTCTAACATCCCTAAATTACAACAAAAATAGAAGGAAAGTTGGGTCAATCGACCACCTCCGTCTCTGATGCGTGTTCTCGTCTCTGATGGGCTCCCATGCCCCCCTACTAATTAGTTCAATTTTGTTTGGGTTAGAACTTAGAAGCTGTGTTCTAGACTTGCTTTGAGTTCTAGCTGTTTCTTGATCCAACTCTGTTTGTATTGCTTGCTTTTGTCTCTGTATTGCTCCTTCCCGTTTGGGTTGTTCAATGACATTAGATTTTGACCCCAAAAAAAAAAGAGAAGATGAACCAAAAAAAAAATCGTTGTATCTTGGGGTATAGGCTGAGTGAATCTTTGGGGTATAGGCTTAGTGCAAAGTTAAATACAAGTTATGATTCCTACACGTGTTCTCCCACAACACACCTTACGTCCTAATCATCCGGATATCAGGTTATTGACAAAAAGAGAAAAGACCCAGCTAAAGAGCCCTTGATGGTATTGCACCCAACAATCTTGGTCTAGACTCTACCTAATTTTATTTTTTTTCTCCTAAAATTTTGCTAACAGGGCCGGGTCTGTGACGTGCCCTCCCCCAGCGCATTTTGGTTACCTCGAAGAGCATCTCCAGCGCAGCCCGAAGGCCAGGGGAAAGGCTGCCCGACGCAGCCCGAGTCAGCTCCAGCGCAGGGCCCGTAGCCCAGTTTCGTGGCGGGTCCCACGAGCCCGAGGAAGCCCAAGGGCAAGTCTTGCCCGGGCTGAAGCCCGAGTTGGCTGACGTCAGCGTGACGCCAGCGCTGACGTCAGCCACTGACAGCTCCAACGGGCGGGTGCCACGTGGCGCGACGGGGACTCTCCGATGGATTTTTTCCAGAAATCCGACGGTCCTCCTTTTTTTGGCTAAAAAAATTGCAAAAAAAATCGAAAAAAATCTGAAATTTTTTTTAAAAAATACCCAAAAATTCTGTATTTTTTCTCTATAAATACCTAACCATTTTATTTACTTTCCACACTAAAATCTTCATACAATTTCTTCTCCATCCCATATTTTTTACTCTTTACTCACATTATTCACTTTCCACACCAATTCTTCATACAAACTTTTCTCCTTCCAATTTTTTTGTTCATCTCCAATCACATTTTTCACTTCCACACCAATTCTCCATACAAACTCTTCTCCTTCCAATATTTTTTACTCTCTTTCTACTACTTTCCATTTGTAAAAAAAAAAAAAAGGCATCTTCTATTGAAGTCGGAGGCTCGTGGTCAACGAATGAAGATATTGCGTTGTGTCAATCTTGGGTGAACATTAGTCATGACCCTATCACGGGTAATGAGATGAAGTTTCATCACATGTGGAGCAAAATTCATGGGGAATTTTGTCAAAGATCGGGTTCTATTCGGACCGAAATGGCGTTGTCTAGTAGATGGAAACTTCTTAATAAAGAGTTAGGGAAATGGAGGAATGCCTTGACAAAAGCAAAGGCGAACATTCAAAGCGGTCAAAATTTGACCGATGAGGTAAAATATTTATAATTGCCATTTTAATCAATTCAATGTCACTTTTTTTTTATTGCATATTCTATTTGTTTTTCTTGCATAATTTTTTTTTCTTGGTGCACCTTTAATTTGTCTATATTTTCTTGCATAATCAATTTTATTTTTGCATTTCAAAATAGTTTATATTTTCTTGCATAATAATTTTTGTTTCTTGCACTTCCAATTATTTATTTTTAATAGATGGTACAAGCACAAATGTGGTTCGGTGCCATGGGGCAAGGCAAAAAAAGTTTCGTGCATTTCCAATGTTGGGAAATTGTGAAGGATTGTTCGAGATTCAAAATTATTCCCACCGGTCCGCCGGTTGTGATGAATGAGACGCCACTCCACGATTCAACATCAACCGATTCTCCATTGGACTCCCCAATGGAAACGGAGTCACCATTTGTGCCACGTCCGCCAAGACCTATTGGGAGAAAGGCGGCAAAGGCCAAGAGAGGGGCCACTTCGACCAATGATTGTGTACAATTATTGGAGCAAATAGCTAAGAGCGCCACACTAAGAATCGAGAGAGACTTGAAAAGAGATGAAATGGACAAGGCACGAGAGGAAGCATTTGTTCTCCAACAACAAATGGCACAAGAAAAAGACATAGAGGATAGAGAGATGAAAATCATGGCTATGGATACGAGCCATATGTCTCCCGAAACAAAGGCTTATTGGAAGCTACGACGAAAAGATGTGATGAGGAAAAAACTTTTCAATGACGACGGACCTAGCAATACGGATTGGTTAAATGATGAAAACCATTAGAAACACCTTTGCCATATGTTGTATTGTTGTATTGTTGTATTATCCTTTAAGTTGTTGTATTGTTGTATTATCCTTTAATTTGTTGTATTGTTCCCTTATCCTTTAATTTGTTGTATTGTTCCCTTATCCTTTAATTTGTTGTATTGTTCCCTTTTTATTCAATCAAAAAGCATTAAATTAAATGACTATTTATTAAAAACATTTGAGCATCAAAACAAATATTAATTAAAAAAAACCTTCATTGATTGCAAACAACACACAAAACAAACCATACATAAAAGCATAATAATAAAAAGCATAATTCCAAAAAAAAACCACACACAAAATAAAGCATAATTAAAAACAAAGCATAATTCCAAACAAAACCACACACAAAACAAAGCATAATTAAAAACAAAGCATAATTCCAAACAAAGCACTAATCTTGACTTCATCCATTGTGATTGCCTTTGATCTCCCACAAGTGCTCGATCAAGTCACGTTGACGTATCTCGTGAACATATGAAGATTGCATTTCTTGATACCGATCAATCATGGGGTTGTTGAATTGACCATCCCGAAGTATGGGTTCGGGCTCCAGTGGTAGTCCATTTGGTCCAATCGGCCTTTCATATATTCTTGTCAACGATGTGTTCATTGGATCGGGTTCAAACACCTCTTGAGCATCATAGTCATACTCATCCTCCACAATCATGTTGTGAAGGATGATGCAAGTCATCATAATACTCCGCAGCACCTCCTCATCTAGCATCCGAGCAGCACCTCTAATAATTGCCCAACGAGCTTGCAAGATACCGAAACACCTCTCCACGTCTTTCCTGTAACCTTCTTGAAAGGAAGCAAAGTTTCTTTCCTTCTCGGATTGGGGATTCGGAATTGTTTTCACGAATGTCGTCCACCTAGGATAAATTCCGTCGGAAAGGTAGTACGCACCAGAGTAAACGGTATTGTTGATTTGGTACGTGACCTGGGGGGAATGACCTCGCAATACCTCATCGAACACTGGGGATTGACCAAGGACATTGAGGTCATTCTGAGAACCGGAAACCCCGAAGAAGGCATGCCAAACCCAACAATCGAATGAAGCTACGGCCTCCAAAATTATACTTTTTTGGCCCTTCCGATTCCCGTACTCCCCTTGCCAAGCAGTAGGACAGTTCTTCCACTGCCAGTGCATACAATCGATGCTTCCAATCATTCCTGGGAAACCTCGGGCCTCGCCTTTTTGTAGAAGCCGTTGCAGGTCTCTTGGCGTTGGTTTGCGAAGGTACTCCCTCGTGTACAAATTTTCCACTGCATCACAAAATCTCACCAAGCACTCTAGGACAGTAGATTTTCCCATCCTTGCAATCTCATCCACCTGCTCTGCAGATGCCCCATAAGCAAGCATCCGCAAAGCAGCTGTCAGTTTTTGCTCCGGGATAAGACCTAAAGCTCCAACAGCATCATGCTTTTGAATAAAGTATGTGTCGTAATTACAAATATCATGCATGATTTTTTGGAACAAATGTGGTTGCATTCTATATCTTTCTCGAAACTTAGAAGCAGGATATAACGGATTTGGGATAAAATAATCCTCCATGAGATTCTTACCCCGAGACTCCCTACGTCTGTCCACATTTGGGGCACGAGGACGACGGTTTTGCCTTGATTGATCCATCATACACACCGCTGCTGCAAGCAGTAGTTCTTCTTCTTCATCGGCTTCCCGATCTTCTTGAGCACGTCTACGCCTTGTTTCTTCCCTTTGTTTCTGTTGCCTCTCCAACACCCTCAACAAGTTTGACATTGAGAGTATAATGTGTTTTCTACAATCTGAGAAATGAAGGAATAGATAAGAGATGGTGTGAGAGGTTTGAAAATCATGTCTAGTTTATAGACGGATTTAGAAGATAGAGATGACACGTGGCACAATTTGAGAGAATGAAAATCTTATCAAAAATCTGAGATTAAATTTTTTAAAAAATATCTGAAAATGTTATCTGACATTTGACACGTGGCACAATTGTAGAGGGTGAAAATCTAATCTGAAATCTGAGATTAAAATTTTTTTAAAATATCTAAAAATGTTATCTGACATTTGACACGTGGCACAATTGTAGAGAGTGAAAATCTTATCTGAAATCTAAGATTAAAATTTTTTTTAAATATCTGAAAATGTTATCTGACATTTGACACGTGGCACAATTTTAAAAGGAATTTTCTTTGAATAATTTTTATTAAAATCTAAAATACCAAAAATTAACTACGAAACTTTAAATGCCGTTTTGGAAGGCCAAACGACCTCAAAATGCCAAAATCCATCATACAACACGGCAAAGCCGTGAGTTTGACTCGTGGCGTCGTTCCCTTTCCGAAATGGTATTTTGCGTCCTAATCGGAGCTCGGACGACAAATCTGCAAATTCCCACTACGTCCTTTTTCTAGCTCAACCGCGATAAAATCTGCCATTTGTTCCACATCAGACGTGGCACAATTTTAGAGGGTGAAAATCTATCCTAAAATTAAATTACAAAAGATTATCAAAATTAATGGTTTAAACTATAAAAAAATAGAAAATAAAGTACGATGAATAGTAATTACCTTAGACTTGCCCTAGACTTTGCCTTTGTGGGTGGAACCACTTGCAAAGGCTGACACTATTCACGTGAATAGTGGCAGCCCTTGCTTGCCCTTACCTTAGACTTAGCCCTTGTGGGTGGAGATGCTCTAACATCTCAAGATGAAACGGAACCCATAGAATTGTACTCTCTCCCTTCCTTCCCCGGTTGGGAAAAGATCTCGTCCGAATTTTGAACTTGGAGTATGAAACATGGCTATATATAATACTAATAGCACCATCGGTTTTGTGAAAATCATCTCATGAGCATGATGACTCATTGGAATGAGATTGACCATGAAATCACTCTATGGTTTGATTGACAAAAAATATCAACAGGATAAAAGACATTATTTGATACAAATTTTAATCCAGTAAATCCATCAATGCTAGCAATACTAGAGAGTATTGCAAAAATTGAACTCAACGAAACCCCATGAACAACAATCTTCACAAAAACCCAGATGTATGATCCTAGCAACCTTAACAAAAATTTATGCTTACCTAAAATGCTCGTGAAACATCAGAGAAGCTAGCATGAGCACAGACGGCCTAAACAATATCATCAACCACATAACTATACAAGCAAACTAACTTCTAATAAATTAACTTATTGTGCTGATAATACAGGAAAACTCATCTATTCCAATCAAATAAAAATATTAAGAAACCATAAAGAGCAATAGAATTAAGTCAAATATTTATTGTAGTTACCTCTCACCCAAGGTACCGCGTTCAAGTTCTTCATCCTCCAAGTTCGCTTGTATAAAATATTAAAAAAACCACTAAAAGTCTTTACATTCTCCTCTTTTAACACATGCTCACATCATTGTCACAAATACAACATCCGATTTTGATCAACCAGATAATACTATGTTAGGTATTTTATTGAAGTTACATCGATTTTTTCATATATATTTTTTTTTGACAAATTTATTGAGGTGATATATCTAATCACTCAAATGTTGAATTTGGTCAACTTCTTGTTGAGATTATAAAAATTTCAACAATATCTCGAAGAAGGTAGTTAAATTTTTCCAATTTTTGGCGCATGTATAAAGTCATCAATCAACAAGGGTCTAAAAATTCAAACATTTTAACATAAGCTGAAGGTTGTTCTGTGGCATATATGACATCCCTTTTTTGCGCATCTATCATGTCAGTAACGGTCTACAAATAAGGATACTGACTTCTGATTAATTATTATGTTATCAAGAATTGAGTGATGCATTTGTATAAGGTCAAGACTCAACTAACGGTATGTTAACACAAACTCGTAGCATTGTTCTAGTTGGGTAAGATTTCGTGTTAATGCTATGCTTTAGCTGACGTTAGTTACTTTGCATGTAAATGTTTGAGTTGAAAATTAGTAATCTGTGGTAGGAAAGAGCAAAGTGGACAGTGCGGGGTAAAATTTTGTTTTTTTTTCCTTCTGTAATTATTTAGAATATTTTATTATGTTTTTTCTTTATGTGAAGGTGGCCTCCATTATGCCACATCATCCACTCCCCGGCTAGGGTACTACATTTTCTTGTTTGAAATTCCAGGTTTGGTCTTCATCGCTATTTGCTTTTTGCTTTTTGCGAACCGACTACGTTATTTTCTTTTTCGCTCTTCCCCCGCCCGATCGAGCTATCTAAGGTCGATGGTGCATCTGGTAAGCTCTTTTGGTATTCATCTCCGGAGCCCGGTCAGATGCTTCAATCCTTCATTCAAATTCCATATCAATATCTTTCTTTTTTTCAAGTATATATTGCGAGTTTACAGCTTGAATGTTTGATTCCCCTTTCCACAGTCCCTTCTTTCCATTCGATCCTTTCATTTAAATCTTTGTTTGACACATATTTCCTCCTATTCTGATTTCGGCACTAAACTAAATAGAAGACTCGGATTAACCATTTAAAGGACTTAATAAAATTTATTATAATAAAGGCTGGGCTTTTTGTATAAAAAAAGGCTATTGGCCCTATATCGACATTTCATTATGAAAGAAAAAGTTTCTAAGTCGCTATTTCAGTTGTTAATAGCCCTTTGAGAACATTTAAACTTTGGTAAGTTACAAAAACATAAACTCCCTAAAATATAATTACATATTACAAATTATTCTACAATTGAAAGGAAAATATTTTTAGCAAATACCTAATTTTAATTTATTCGGTGCGCTGCCTTCCTCGTAGGGCCGTCCTTCAGAATTTTGAACTCGGAGCATGAAACGCTATGTACAACACCACAATGAAAGGAATAGCCTTTCATCACGAAAGAGATGTAGACACAAAAAAAGGGTTTTAAAAAAATGATGACTCACTAGAATGAGATTGGCATGCAATCTGAGCTCCTGCTGCCTAATTGAAATGAGATAGGCGTGCAATCTAAGCTCCTGCTGCCTCGTTGCAATGAGAGTGGCATGAAATCAAGAACATGATGAAAGGGGGTGATACAAACTACATTCCTCAGATATTTGATCAAACTCTTTGGTTGCATTCATTTCAATCCATTCAATTCTAACAACCAGAACTACCATAGGCCATCCATGATGATTATTCTAACCCGAAAATCAACCCCATAAACAAAAACAAACAGAAAACAATTCATCATATATAAACTGCAACTACAATCTCCGTTTATATCTAAGTAAATCTGCAGAAAAACGTATCTACAACAGTCCAAAAGAATCAAATCGGACTAAGGTACCTAGCAAGGCTACAAATTAAAGTTGCGAACCCAAATTTTAATCTGGAAAACACATCAATGCTTACTAGACAATATCCCAAAAATTAAACCCCGGATGAACAACAATCTTCACAAAAACCCAGATATGTGATCCTAACATCATTCATAAACATTTCTGCTAAACTAATATGCTCATGAAACATCAGAGAAGCTAGCATGAGCATAGACAACCTAAAACATATATCAACCACATAACTATATAAGCAAGTCATTCTAACAAATGAACTTGTTGTGCTGAAATATAGGAAAACTCATCCATTCCAATCAAAGAAAGAAAACATAAAGAGCAATAGAATTAAGTCAAAAACTTATATCCATAACAAAAGTAGCATTTCAGGACTGCTGCTCGTACATGTAAATTGAAATGAAATCCACTAAAGTAACATCAAACTACTATGTTACTAATGACAAATTAAGCATAAAATGACATCAAAACCAAAATAACCCTAATCAGGGAAAACCCCAAACAGAGCCATGATTTGAGGTCAGCTCCCACTCTATTCTTCCTCGGTGGCTGATTCGTTCTTGGTGTTGTTGTGCTTCCTGGCGTACCTTTGGTTCCTCAGGAACTTGGGGTCCATCTATACCCAAATCCAATTGTTAGGGCAAAAAAAAAACCCCAAATACAAAGCAAAATCAAAATTAATCAAGGGACGGAAGTTGAAATCAGTACCCCTTTGGTTGAAGTGTGGCGATGCCTCTGAGGCTTCTTGATGCCGTTCCTGTGAGCCTTGCGGGACTGGTTGTGAGCGGTGTGGTTCTTCGACTTGGCCATCTCTGCAATCACAAACCCAAATACAAACACAAGTAATTAGTAGCAGAAATGGAGCTGAGAATCAGGATAGACAGATTGAAGTAAGAGCTTTTCTAGTTCAGAGAAGGAGAGACGGCACGAACCAGAAAGAGAACGAGGGATCTATCAGCGACGTCGCTTGGGTGTTAGGGTTCTCTTTGAAGCAGCAAAATGAGAAGTTGGGATTTATATGTGAGCTCCTGTAAAAACCCTAGCTTCCGGCTCTTGTATTTTTATAATGACGAAAGTGCCCTTCTATTGCCGATTGGAAAACAAATTCGGCTTGTGATTGGTTGGGCTGGCTCGCTTAAGAGCCCAGTCGTGATAGGATTGGGCTTTGTTGGTATCATCGAAAACCCGATTCCTCTTACCTTCTTTTTTTGGTGAGATTGATCTCCTCAAATAGCCTCCTCACCTTAAACTCCTCATTATAGCCCCCCCGCTTTTTTTGAGGTACTATTTTTCTTTCCCTTCCGACTTGCAGATTTTACACAAGGGTCTTGCTAAAAATGAAAAAAAAGAGAAGTTGTGGAGAGAAATTAAAGAATTATGAATAAAATCAAGGGAGACTTTGGAAAAACACAAAGGAGAGAGAAATTTTGTAAAAGAAGCCAAAATGGAAATTGCCCTGATTTATTTTTGGATTTCCTAAGGAATCCTTTACATTTGCATGTCTTTAATTTGAAAGTTGAAAGGTTTTTCTGTCTTTTTTGAAAAAGCTTTGGCTTTTTCCAAAAATGAAATTTTTTTTTGTTGCTAAAACCTAAATTTACTTAAAAGGAAATTGAGAAAGAAAAAAAAAGGATTGTTAACAATTATTAATCAAATCAAGTTGTGCTGTGTTTGATTAAAGGGTTATATAACATATAACGTTATGGGGTCTATTCACTCAAGCCCAAAAACCACGTGATTCTATTTGATTAAAGTAGTGGGTGTGATTTCTATTATGCACCCGAATTTGAATCTCATCTCCGTAGTTTAGATTAGATTAAAGTAAATTTCTTTTATAAAAAAAATTATAAGAGAGATATTTCTCACACACACTATCAAAGTATCATAATTTCCTTTCTATATTGCAAAAAAGGGATGTATTTCATCTTATTTTGTAAAGAGGAAAAGTAAATTAATGGTCCAAAGTCAAAACGACAGAGAGGCAAATGCAATTACAAAACAACTAAGCAAGCCAATCAGATTTAGGTAAGCATAAAAATTATTTTCCAAATTACATAATATTTCCCTTACATATTTAATGAGAGTTAGGTGAGTATTTATATCAACCTCAATAGGGTGAAAATTAATCTCCCATAGCTCACCAAAATCACCACCATCACTTGCTGGCAGAGCCCAGAAATCCACCGGCTCCAGTTGTAACGCTGAACTGGCACACAAACGACAACACTTTACACCCATTTAAATAAATTTTCTTTATTTCGTCATTATTTCATTAGTCTGATTTGATCTCTGTAGTCTTTGCGCTTGATTTGTTGTGGGTATTTAGTATTTCTCTCGCTAACCCACCGATCTGGTCCTTGAGAAGAAGCCATGTTCCTGGTCGACTGGTTCTATGGCGTCCTTGCCTCTCTGGGCCTGTGGCAGAAGGAGGCCAAGATTCTGTTTTTGGGCCTCGACAACGCCGGCAAGACCACCCTCCTCCACATGTTGAAGGATGAGGTTTCTCTCTTTCTCCTTTGTCATTATCATGGCTTATTTTTGTTGGGTTTTTCTTGATTTTGATAAATATGTATGTATGTGGTGATGGGTTGTTGCAGAGATTAGTGCAGCATCAGCCGACCCAGCACCCAACTTCGGAGGAATTGAGCATTGGGAAGATTAAATTCAAGGCTTTTGATTTGGGTGGCCACCAGATCGCTCGCAGAGTCTGGAAGGATTACTATGCTAAGGTGTTTAGACTCTCACCCAGTATTAGATTTGTAATCCTAAATTGTTATAAGATTTGATTGATTATAGTTTTCAGCTGAAACATGATCTGCACATTGCTTGCTATGAATTTCGTGCTTGCACTACAAGGATGGCTGCTACTAATTCGTGAATCATAATCTCTTGTTTTACTTGGGTGGTAAATTATGTTTCTGGGATAAAAATCTCATACAATGGTACAGTTTATCAGATATTCCTACGCAGAACAGATTGTTTCTAACATCATTTATTTATATATTTCGATGTCTTTCTTTGTTTTCAAATTTTTCGGATGATTGTAGCTGTTGTTGCTTGTCTACATCATGTTTTAATCCAACTTTTGGGTTTATCTCAGTAGATGGGAAAGCTGAAAGTAGGCATGATTTGTTTGCTATTGCTAGTTCGCATGTTTTGCCTTCATAATCCCAGCTAAAATTTCCTTTTGGTTATCTGATTCATGGGAGGCGAACATTTACAATGGAGATTTTGCTGAGAGCACCTTTGTTTTTTTTTCCGTCTTTCCGGAGGTGTTTTACTTTTGTCTTTCCATACATGGTGTCCTATAAAAGCTATCATGATTCATGAATGTGGTTTGGGCCAGAGTTGATGACCTATTCTTCCATTAAGAAAACCTGGGTCTCAACGTTTTATTTTGTGGATTAACTTGACACTAATTATTTCGTAGTTTTAGAAAACAACAAGAAGTATGGTTCAACACCCTAAACCATGCTTTTCTGTCTTCTTTTTCTGTTTATTCCTGGCGTATAGGAAAATGTTTTATGTCAATTTTATATGTTTGAGACCTTTAATTTGCAAGAAGTGTAACTTATTCTTGCCATTCTGGCCTAGCTTTTCAAAAATCACAGCATCAACTTACATTTATTCACGCACATGTTTCCTAGTTCTTTTTCCCTTTCTAATAAATAACTTTGTAGACCTACTCCATATTTCCTAGTGGAGAAGTCAGAAGAGTGCAAAAGAGAAGACAACCGTAAGAGATTTATGAAAAGTGGAAAGTGGGTTTATGACTTATAAGCTATTCCAGACATTTGAAGATTTAATTGAGGTTGCTTCTCTGCCAATTTGTGTGATGATTATATTTTGAATTAGACTTGAGGACCTCTCAAAGTAAATGCTTAGTATTTACCTTCATGCATTCAGTTTGGTTTCCCTTACACATACGAAGTACAGTCTTTATATCATCTCTGCCCTCTCACGGTTTTCATGATTGCATATCAAATTCTTATTTTTTTCCTGCACCAAGCTCTACTTTATCAAATATATAAAGTGCTATAATTCCTTTATTGCTCGAGTTTGTGATTCCTTCATTCCTGTTAGTGAATTTGAGTTTTCTAGTACCTATTTGGATTGTGCCAAAGTAAATAAATGCTGCAAGTTTTTAATTCAACTTTTTTTTTCTGTTGTGAACAGGTGGATGCAGTGGTTTACCTGGTTGATGCATACGACAAGGATCGTTTTGCAGAATCAAAGAAGGAGCTGGATGCACTCCTTTCAGATGAGAGCCTGGCAACTGTTCCATTTCTTGTGCTGGGCAACAAGATTGACATCCCCTATGCTGCTTCAGAAGATGAGCTGCGATATCATCTAGGACTGACTAACTTCACTACTGGGAAGGGAAAAGTGAATCTTACGGACACCACTGTCCGCCCCCTAGAGGTTTTCATGTGCAGTATCGTCCGCAAGATGGGGTACGGGGATGGCTTCAAGTGGGTCTCCCAATATATCAAATAGAGAGTAGAGTAGGGGGATCCTTTTTGGCTTAGTATTTGTGTGGTACTTTTTTCCTGCGAATTTGTAGTATCTGACCACAATTATAATGGAAGAGGATTTTCTTATTTGATTTTTATCAGATTGAAGGATAAAACACTCTCATCATAATATATCAATTTGTTGCAATGTTCAATTTTAAATATGTGCTTCTTGAACCAGATTCAGTGTGATTCTTTTCTGATAAAATATTTACTATTTTTAAGCATTGTTTTTAAGTAGTTCCATATTCCTTTTTTCTTTTGAATTTCTTAATTGTTCGAACTATGTTTCCCTTCTAGTGATGTGTTGTACCCTACACTTTTGTAGCACTGATAATTTCTCTGGTTGTGCTGGTGTTGGCATGTTCTTTCTAATGAGCAAAACACCAGCAACTCCCCACCCTCTTCCTAGCAGCCTCGACCCCAACCCCCTCCCCACACATCCGCAGCCGTCAACCACCCACTTCTCCAGCACACACAACACCATCAATGTCTCTCTGTCTATGTCTCTCTGGAGCTGACTGTTAAAAGAATACCCTGAAACTTTTCTTTCCTAACAAATCTGTAAGATTTAACACGAAAAGCTGTTGGTTGGGAGAACACGATGAGTGTGTGTGTTGTATGGGTTTTCTTGTTCGGGTTGGGATTTTTGGCTGGAATTTATTGAAGTTGATGTGAGACTGAATGTGGGTTTTCAGCTTGGCTAAGGAGATGGAGGGCTGGTTCCTTGTCGTTGGGTTGGGACTTTCCCTCCTTGAAATTGATGACGATGGGGTCATGATATATTCTTCGTTAGTGGTGGTGGGAATGGTGGATCTGGGTACAGAGCTGTGAAGCTGGTAGGAGTGACTCGAAACAAAAGTGGAGTTGAGAGACTACGGCAGTTATCTTGCAAATTCAACGCCAAAATGTGAATCCGATACAAGCAAAGCAAAGAACTCAGAATGTTACAATAACAATGTGCTCAAATCTCGTAGGATATAGCTTTGTTGGCTGAGCTTTTTCACACTTTCGCATTCATCCACGTAAGAAGAGGTTCGAAATCCCCAAATATCCAATGAATATTTTGTGTAAATCCTAAACACAAAAAACCTTAAAATTTTGTCATTATAAAAAAGTGATCGACGAACACAACTTTAAAATTTTAGGGAAATAAAAAAGTGATGATCTGGCACTGGCGCTGTACCGGATAATCAACCTCAGCTCAGCATACCGTGAGATGACTCCACGCATGCATTTTTGTCTAGGTTCCTTCCCTCCACTCTACCAGTTTCCAACTCGATGGCTTTCACACAAAACACAACGCAATGACGCGTACCACCCAATCACATCGCTCCACGTAGGATCCGCACTCTCCAAACCGGCATTTTACGGTCACCATACGTATCCACCGGCTCCACGTCATCACCCTTCTCTCACCAAAGCTCTCCGCTTACCTACCAAAGCAGTCAACACTGTCCAGCTTCCGCACTCTCTGACTGTCCATAAAAATATATAATTTCCCGGAAAATCTTTCAAAATACCAACCAAAACAGAAAATCAGGATATTCCGTCACTTTTCCCTCACCTTCTTCTTTCAGAATCTGGGTTAAATTTTGTTTTCAGTGGAATTTGAAAATCTCTGTGCTTTGAATTTCTCTTCGGATATGTTTCTGGTGGATTGGTTCTATGGGGTTCTGGCGTCGCTAGGGCTATGGCAGAAAGAGGCGAAGATCTTGTTCTTAGGGCTTGATAATGCCGGAAAGACCACCTTGCTTCACATGCTCAAAGATGAGGTGCCGAGTCTCTCTCGTTCTCTGTCTTTATTTGAATTTCTTATTTGGGACGATTGCTGTTTCGTTTTGGGTTGAACAAGTTAGGGTTTTTTTTATTGCAGAGATTAGTTCAACACCAACCGACCCAGTATCCGACCTCGGAGGAACTGAGTATAGGGCAGATTAAGTTCAAGGCCTTTGATTTGGGTGGCCATCAGATCGCTCGCAGAGTCTGGAAGGACTATTACGCCAAGGTTTAAATTTTACCCAAAATACTAATTCGAGTTCTTTGATTTTTGATATGGTAATTTAGAGTTTGATTTGATTCGTTCTTAGAAATTGTGGTTGCATGTTATAGATGTTGGATAAAAAATGAAAAGTTTAGCATATACACGCGTGTGTATGGTATGTTTGTGTGTGTATATATGCAATGGAATGGAACCCTGTTGGAATAAAGAAATAATGGAACCCTTGGTAGTGACTAAATGAATTTTTAAGCCATCCCTTGTTTTTGTAGTCACATCCATGGGTGTGAGTCGCATGCAATGGATTTCATGTTATTTTATTCCTATTCCTAGTCCTTGAACTTGAAGTTAGCGGTCAAGAGTTTGGTTGGTTGTGATTATTATAAGCCAATTGATGGTTTTTGTCAAATAAATTTTGGGTTCCAATGGGTGATTTTCTCAGAATGGGACTTAGGCCATGATTTGTCTTTATGTGATGAGCATATATTCACAGTTGGTGTGCGGCCTTTTTGATTGTTTAGGTGGATGCTGTAGTCTACCTGGTTGACGCTTATGACAAGGAGAGATTTGCAGAGTCAAAGAAGGAGCTCGATGCTCTTCTCTCCGACGAGTCACTTGCAAATGTCCCATTTCTCATATTAGGAAACAAGATTGACATACCTTATGCTGCCTCAGAGGATGAGCTGCGTCACCATATGGGCCTGACAAACTTCACCACAGGTAAAGGGAAGGTGAATCTGGCCGATTCCAATGTTCGCCCCCTTGAGGTGTTCATGTGCAGCATTGTCCGTAAGATGGGGTACGGCGAAGGCTTCAAGTGGCTCTCTCAATACATCAATTAGGCGGAACAATGGAGAAGCAGTTGTGCCACAGGAGATGGTAGTTTTGCTGCCGCGTTTGGACTCTCCAATAGATTTGATGTTGTCTATTTCTACGCATAGATGCTTATGTAAAGTGGATGTGTTATCTTTAGATGCATAGCAGGTTTTTGCTCTTCAATTTTAGCTTCGAAACCCAGTGTGCATTTTCTTACTATTTCTTCTATAATGTTTTTTCAATGTTCAGGATAGATTAGTTGTGTTAGTTTTCTTACCATGTATTGGTAATTAGAATTGCAGAACCAATGAATATTTACAGAATGCCTACTCTGCCTTCATGCTTCCTGTTTTTCTACCTTGCCAAGTAGTATTGGTGACCACTCTCACAAGTGACAAGCTACCATTCAATAAGTAGAGTCTCAACGCTTTCCACTGTTCAGGGTTTATTTATGACCTGCAAGTGATCAAATGTGGACCTAACCACCAAGGCTACAACTTCAACTGCCAAAAGGTAGTGCTAAGGTTCGTCATTGATTAGAACATTGACCAAATAGTATGGTGGGGCAGCAGATTACACACACAAATATGAACAAGATGTGGTACTTCCACAAGAAGACTAAAAACCAAGAAGCACATTGCGACTGACCCATTATGATACGGTCACTGAAACTAGAACCCTCCCAACAATCCTAAAATGGTCTGAAAGGGTCAAAATCGCAAAACTATTTGTTCTAGGCATTTACAAGTTATACAGGCTACGCAACTACAGAGAGCTCCACCCCGAGTTTTTTCATTTGCCTGTCTAGACCTCAGGAATTTCTTCAACTATCCATGTTAGAGTCAGGATCCAGAAGCTCTTCGAATTCCAGCTGCAGAAGATAAAGATTTGATTGGTTAATGTATCGGCAGAATTGTACTGTAACATTGAAAGAAGAATTCTAAGTTCTAACCAGATCACTCACCTTTGCTTCAATGTGGGTCAACTTCATCCGACTATATTCTTCTTGTGCTTTCTTTGAGCGGAACATGGCCTGAACCCGTACAACAGATCTCTCAATGCGCTCTTCAGCTTGTTTCCGGCTGGCCCGGTAGAAGTCTTCTTCTGTATCACTTTCCTGCTTCTGATCTACATCGACTTCAACCGGGGCCACATTAAGCCCACGAAGCCCCCTTCTTTTAAAACGCCACCGCAAAACAGCTTTCTCAAGCACTCCAACTGACCAAAGAACTTTACGGTACTGCCTCCGCACTTGGAATCCCCGAAAAGCAGCCTGCATAAAATGAAAATGCAATCAACCAATTTTTCCTGGACTCTCAAGAGTTAATCCATCACTGTTACTGCATGTATTAATCACCAAATTTTAAAAAATATATAATTCATTAACAGTCACAATGATATCATGCACCAAGAATTCACGACCAAACAAAAATCATACACCAAGAATTAGAATGGAGCACCTTTGGGTTGGGTGGGAATCCAGTAGTACGCTCTAGTCATGGCTAATAAACCAAGTTACCTAATACAAATGAAGGTTGCAATTTGACCAATCAAATGTAAAACTGATCGACCCTATGTGAATTGACTCAAAATGTCCTATTTAAATTTGATTTTCCAAAAGGATTTGTTTATGTCACTGTGTGGTTCATACTAGCCGTATTCACTTGTCAACTATGCCAGAAAGAAGGGAAGAAGCTTTACTTGAATTTTGATAGCTTGACGGCGCAAACTAAGGAATTCTTGGCGCATCTTCCAGGTACGAAACCTATATTGAATGCGGGCAGCAGCTTTGATCTTTTTTCGTGTATCATAGTTGCGAAAGGCATGTTGAATTTTCAATGCTGCAATTATACCACGTGCTTCAGCCTCTGGAGTGGAATACTGAACTGCTTTAGCCTTTAATTTTAGTGAGTTCTCCCTGAAGGCAGCCTGTATTCGTGCTGCAGCATCAGCAGCTGTCCGATAAGCTGCCAAAGTATCCTTCAGATGTATCTCATCCTCACTGAGGTTCTCAGAGTTCCCTGCATAGTTTGAGCTAGTTTGAAGGGAACCACTAGCATTTCCAGCTACGCTCATATCCTTGAATTGTTCTACCAAAGCCTTCTCTGACAGATAAGCTGCTAAGCCATCATACCCCTTCATGGCTGCAAGATCAGCAGCAGTATATCCACCAGGGTTTTCTGAACTGGGGTCAGTGACCAAGTTTGGCTTTGCCCCCGCAGATAAAAGAACTGCAACCATTTTCTCCCTACACATGGAGACTTTTAGCATTAAGAAAATCTCAGAAGATATAATTCCAATCTCATCACAGAATGCATTTAAACAATTGGCTTTTTATCACAAATGGTCCCTAAGGTTAGCGAAATTATCACCTTTCGTCCTCAATCTTTTTTTGTGACATTAATAGTCCTTAACGTTACCTAGTACACATCAAAATGGCCCCAACGGTTAAAAACTCTGTTAAATTGCTGAGTGGAATGCAAGTGGGCTCCACATCTCCAATGACGTCGTGACATGTGGATAAGATAAAATAAAAAATAAAAACGTTTATGAAAAACTATTAAAAATTAAAACAATTTAAGAAAAAGTTGAATTTTTTATTTTTATTTTTTCCATCCCCCATCTACTCTCCCTCTCATCTGCTATTTTTCTCGCCCACCACCCCCCCATCCACACCCACGCCCCACGCCACAGCTGCATCCCCAACCCCAACACCCACCAGCAACCCCCCACCCTCTCCCACTATTTTTTCTCTCCCTCTCTCTCCATATGACTTCCAATGGCCCCCTCCCCCCTCCCCCCTCCCCTATGGTTTTTTTTCTCTCCCACGACCTCCTAACCCAAATGCTATCTATTTTATCTAGTTTTGATAGTTTTTTGCAAACCCAAGTCTTTAAGATTGAATTATTTGTATGTTTTGGTTGATGGGTCTTGTTTGAATTTGGAAAAAGATTGAGATGGGAGGCTGTAAGGCACCATTTATAAATCATGATCAATAATTTCACCTTTCGATTGTTTCTGAAAGGCTTGGATCGACTATGAGCTTTTTCGGAGTGCGGAGGTAATGAATTTGACAGAGGGGGTGGGGAGGTTGTTGGGGAGAAAACAAAACAGAGGGGAGGAGGGGTGGTGGGGAAGGGCCATTGGAAGTCATATGGAGAGAGGGAGACGGTGGGGGTTGGGGATGCGATTGTGGCATGGGTTGCGGGTGGGGATGGGGTGGTGGGCGAGAAAAATAATATAGGGAGAGGGAGCTTAGAGAGAGGGCAGAGGGGGATGGGGAAAAAAAAATCAGCTTTTTTCTTCATTTTTTAATGGTTTTAAAAATATGTTTTATCTTATCCACGTGTCACAACATCATTGGAGATGTGAAGCCCACTTACCTTCCACGTCAGCAATTTAACAGAGTTTCCAACGGCAGGACTATTTTGATGTGTACTAAGTAACGTTAAGGACTATTAATGTCACAAAAAAAGATTAAGGACTAAAGGTGATAATTTCGCTAACCTCAAGGACCATTTGCGATAAAAAGCCTAAACAATTTTACTCCACATAAATAAATTTCAGATGCATGTAAAACAAACATGCACAAAATCAATACGAGCAAGAAGATAAAAATTGTTGACATAAAGCTCAAGCTATCCTGCATGAGCAGAGGATATAGTGTTGGAAAAGTTCTACCATACAAGTATTAAAAGTTAAACAGAACACAGCAAACCTAAGTAGTGATGTAGAAGATATTTTTGAGAAAAATACAATTTAAAATAATAAGGGAATGATAAAACCATACCTTCCACAATATGCTGCCCAATGAAGGGCTGTCCATCCACGTCTATCACGAAAGTCTAATGACAAGCCTGACCATGAAAACAAGCGAACAGCCCATGTATATTCTAGAATAGCACATAAATGGATTACTCCTTGGCCATAAGCATCATATTCTTTGGTTGTAGAGCTGGCAACAACTTTCTCCAACAGCCAATCCTTTAATCTGTTCTTCAAAATGAGTTCGAACAGACCATCCTTTGCCAGTGGTAAGGGAGTTCTGTTGTCTTCAACTGCCTTCATCAAATATGCCCAGCTATTAGATATGTGCGAGGTTCTGTGGGAAAACTTCTTGGCTTCTTTCAGGGCATTCGGTAATACTTTATTAGATACAATGTTAAGGTTCTTAGATGAAGAGAAAAGTAAATAAGCAAGCCGCATCTGGGCTTGGAACTCTTCCCATTTGTTCTCTTCCGAAGAAATAATTGGATCACTCAAAACAGGAGCACGATATTCGAAGTTTAGTACTAGGCTGATGGGTTTATGGCCATCAATACTCATAAAAAGGTTTACTACTCTGGGTAAATGTGGTGGTACAAAACAGCGATACACCCCAGCCTGAACAATTTCTGCACGAAGACATACATCGCCACAAATACAGAGTAGATCGGACTTTGCAAGATGTAAATACTCTTGGTGAAAGAAGCCAGTGATTAGAATCTGCAAAAGGATTAGCTAGATGATGAAATTTATGTTGAGCAGTACAACCTGAATATTCAGGTTAATTAAAACATATAAAAGAAGGGTCATTCAAAATCAGGACAGATCAACATTTGTCATGCCAAGCTAGAGGCCTGAGAAACAATTATGAGGGCCACTTTTTTCAACTTCGAAAAATGAAAAACAGAAGTTCATCTTCCACCAAAAGTCAAGATCCAGTTTCATGTATTTGCCTATTGACTTTGTAATATTTCATTTTTTTCTTTACAGAAGGACTAGAACCTACGGTATAATCTTTACCCTGACCACCCGATCCCAATGTCACCCGAGCCAAGGCCCAAGAGCTTTATTTGTTCTTATTGATGCACTAAATAAAATATGTAGCCCATTTGGATTTAGTTCTAAAAGCACCATACTTCTGAATATTCCTGTACTAATGAACATGTACATTGATCAGATTCCAAATAATTCAATTTCCCTGCCAAATAAGAATCATTTATTTTGTTAAAATTTGCTTTGATATTTTAATATTTCAATACGTCACCGTGATGTTAGGAATATCACATGATTTGATATGCTTGAAATTTTTTTTTCAACTAATATGAAATAACTTATCAATGTCAGCACAATCAAAGGATGAATGTCCCTTCTTAAATACTTAAATATGAGTTGTTAAAGATTTCCTATTGGAATTTCAAGAACAAGATTTCAACTTTATTCATGATGAACAAAAGGTGGCCATCAACAGTCAATGAATAACATAAACAATAATATGGGGTGTAAAGCAAAGAGGAAAACCTTTGTTTTTTCGTTTGAAAAGGCCCATGCAGGTGACAGATCAGTTATATTAAATATTTGGTGAGGAACAGAAGATTGAAGATGATCAGCTGAAGGAGAAGCAAATGAATTTTGAGCAGCTAAAGATGAGGATTCAAGTGCTGGGTCTTCCACTGAGCCTGGAGGGTCTGCCATGACCTGGTTTATCCACCTTCCAAAACTGTCCTGACTATGTAATCCATCATTAACCAAAACGTCCAAGGAATCATAGGTGGTCTTCTCCACTGTCGGAACATATGGACTGTCTGGAAGATTGAATTGAACGTTATCACTCCTCGAAGTTGGATTGGTTAAATTATCAAAAGCAGACATTTCAGCTGATATAACGCTGGCTCCCTGCAAAGACAAACCATTTATGCAAATGAGTTGCAGCAGAACAATATGCAACGACATATAACACATGAAAAATATAAGAACGAATAAAATGCCAAATGTGTATAAGAAAGAATAAATTGCCAATGTGGAAGGACTAAAATAGATAGAGAGCATAAATTTAGAATTATGAATGATTCTACTTACACCACTTATGAAGCCATTTCCTACGACTTGATTCTGCTGGTCATCGCATGAGACTATGTCTGGCACCCCAAAAGCCCACCACAGAGAGAGAATAATGGTTAATACTTTCATCATTTTGGGTTCTGCTCTAGCAATAACTGTTATCTGGTCACTTACCTCCTTTAGAATCATTTGTAATCAGAAGTTCCTCCCATTCAAGTGTATTGATATCATGGAGCCTCTTTTCATGATTCTTAACAATCAAACCATCACCAGGCTCTGTTGATCATAAAAGAACCAAGGGTAAGAACCTTGTATATCCGTTTTCAATAAAAATAGCAAAGGAAGTAGCAACTTAACTAAACAAGGAAAAAAAGAAATTAGTAAAACATCAAGAAGAATGAAAAAACAATTCTTATCATGATAAGTAATTTATCTTCTAACATCACTAAGCTCCAAATTCTGTTGTGGTTTGCTGAAATGACAGAGACTATTCCCAAAACAAATATATATCATGATAATTGAGGTATCCCTCAAATAATTAGGGTCCCCTGCAATTGTTTTTTCAACGATCCAAACCGTCTATTTTTCAAATCTTCATTCATAGACCATCCTTGCAAAAAAATCTTGCAAATTGAAAATCATTAAGGCATCTAATTGAGACCAAAATAGACGAACACGATGCTTCAAGAAAATACTATAATAACAACCATCTAATTGGGTGGTCAAATGGTTTTGGATTGAAATAATTTTTTGCAGAGATATCTTTGATGGAATATCTAAAAACTAGACGGTTCAGATTATTGAAATACAATGCATGGTGGGGCCTACAAGGGTGTTTCTATATATAACATAATTTATACAAGTCATCTTGCAGAAAGTTCATATGCAGTCACCTGAAAGTTCATTTTCACCAGCACAATATGACTTGTTAGCCCCAGAATCAAGTTCTTCTGATAAAAGCCAAGGAGCAGATGGGTCAGAGACAGAACTAGAATTATTTGAATTCACAGGTGTGACTGGAGAACCCTGCAACTGCATGGTAAGCAAACAGCATAATACAAGGTTAGAAGATCTAGTTGGTTATTGAAAAAATGGCACAAAGAATTGGTTCCAGATATTTCCAAGTTCTACCACTTCTGCGTGAAGGTACCAAGCTCTTTGTTTTATCATAAAAATAAGAAATCGAAGAGTGCCTCATGCAATTTGACAGAAGCCACAGAGTGTATAGTGTATAAAATTACGATTAAATGTTTGCATCACACCTAATTGCTTTTCGAACAAGTTTAAAATGAAAATTGCTGAAAATTAAGAAAACAATATGCATTTCAGTATTCTAAGACTGCAAACTCAATAATTCATGCCATGAAAAGGAGCATCAACATTCTGATTGTGCTTAATCTCGAAGCACATTTAATTAAAAGAGCTATAGAAAAACCACCTCTTGTGTTTCACGGTAATGAACAAGGACTATATGTTCTAGACTCCTGCACACGAATACAACAAAACTTTCAGTAAGACTACTCTTATGCAACAAAACTTTCAGGAGTTGTATTTTAGGAGATACAGGTATAAAACAATAGGGTCATCAATGGATCCAGATAAAATGTAATTATTACATACTTATCAAGCAGCCAATAACACCTCCGGACAAAGGTTGGGCTATCTTCGCCATGTGCATAGTATACATGAATCCTTTCTTCATTACCAACCTGCACCATAAAAAAAATGACAAAATTTGATGAACTGAGTCAACTGAAAATAATAATTCCATAACAAAATAAGCTATAACAATCATGGTGAAAGGTGTACAAAGAATATGTTGAAACAGACAGCATCATTTGGTACATATAGGACAAAGACACCTTTTCCTTACACCCTGCCACTTTGTTACTTTTTGTCTCTCAATCAAAACAGTGACCATTTTAGCAGCAAATTAACCACACAAAAAAAACAGTACTTACAATAAAGGAAAAAAATCCATAGACATGAGGCCATTTGTAGGAAGTTGGTGTATGGTGCCAAAAAAAAGGAGACTTTCAACCAAGTTTTGATTAATGAGATTTTGCAGTTGATAAAACTACTTGCAATTTTTAAACCACCAAGCACCTCATGGTCCGAGTGGGGATAGCATTTCTCGTCTGCATGTCCATGGAAAAGGAAAATTTCCATCAGACAAGTTTCAATGTAACCTTTTCAATAATCAATCCCAATCCCAACTTTGTGGGCTAGTTAAAACAATACTGATATTCAAATTCTTCAATTCTTCGAGTCCTGTCTTCTATTAATAACTTGGGGAATCCCAAACATTATGCAGGGCCATCTCTTTTATTTAGTTAGGACATATTATTTCTCCAAGAATTATAAGTTCAGTCTAGTATAGTCACAGAAAACATTTGATGTTATCAAGACAATTACAAAACTTAGAAGATAAGGCTGGAAGTGTTGGGAAAACACCATAAATTCACTGAGAAAAAATTAGTCACAGAAATATAGTTGATGCCACAAATAACACCTTAGAGAGTGGAAAAGAAAATGAACAGGGAACACTCACTTTCAAGTGTTCATGAGCTTCTTTAACTGTCTTCCCATCCTTTTTCTTCTTCCAGTTATGACCATCTTTCCTGAAGTTTCTAAGCATCTTACGGTCAAACAATACAATAGTGCCACCTGTGACATTTAGAAAAATTACCAAAACGTACAACACAACAGTTTCAGTGTTTACATATCTCCTGTCAAAGTTAACACCGGCAGAAGCTGTACGTTGTGTGCAAAACTGCCTTAGGCAGTGGAAGTATTATTTCATGATAATGATTGTGTCTTGACTAAATAACAGTTTCATATATGTCTGACCTCATATGCAAATTGTTTTCATCTCATCATACACACATAAATGGTGAATTCTCAATTCATCAAGCTTCACGAGGACAGCATTTAATACTCACACTTACAAGAAAACTTATACCATAAGCTATCTGTAGAAACATTTTCAAGAGAATACGAGAAAGCTACTGCAAATAAAGTTGCAAGTTTCATCATGAGTTAACAATAGGAATAGTTGGTGAAATCAGATGGGGATGAAGTTGCAGTGGGGGAACAATAATTCAACCACGTGATATAATTTTCTTACAACTAACTGTAACAGATATTTACTTTGGGGCAAGTTCACTGGCTTGACATAGATGGTGAAATACTTGTGATTGTAGAGTATTGCATGAATTTCATTTGGGCGGAGCCATCTTGATTTGGCTTCCTCCATAATAGTCCCAACATCCAAATCTGTGCATGAAACAAGAACCCCCAATAAGAAAAATAACCAAAATAACCATGTGAAATTTTACAATCTGATCAACAATCCACAGTCATAATTAGAATAGCAATAAGAAACAATACAGGCACGTAGTGACTAGAAAAATTTAACACAGGAAAACAAAGTCCGATCCAACCATCTGAATTGTACCGACATGTTCCTGTTTATCTATGTCATTTTATCTGTCCTCGTCTTATCCTTTGTTCCCAGGGCAATGTCACTCTTAAGCCTTTAAACTATCACAACTTTGAAATAGTAAAATCTAGTTTCACATGATTATTTGGCATCACAAGGCTGGCGACTTGGGAACAAATCATCCTGAGCTTTCATTCTACAAGCTCACCCAGCAACTTTGCAATTGTTACTACTACTTATCAATAAAGACACGAAAGGAGGTTCTGTCCTTTTTGGCATTTTACATGCGTCGTTTCTTGCTCTCTTTTAATTAGCACATAAAACTACTTTTGATACCTCTTACTCATGCCAAATTCGCTTCTGGATTCACTAAAAGCACTTCCTAAATGAAAATCCAAGCTCGATGCTCTTGCTTGCTTCCATTGAACGCGTAAATTAGTTTCCAAAAAAAAAGATCATCCAAAGCCAAAATTCACTTTCTTCAACAAGCAAACCAAAAAACTTTCCATTATAGGCCAAATTATACATACACAAAACCAAATAACAATTTATCTTTAAAAAAAAAAAAAAAAAAAAAAAAGGACTTCGTCCGTACCTTGCATTGTATGGAATCCATGAATCTCAGAACCCTCGAGCTGCTTTTCCATGGTCAATAAAACCACCAAGCAACCCCCAGAATGAAGAATTCTGAAGAATTCTCTCTCACTCAAAAGCTTAAACCCATGAAAACCTAAACCCAACAGAAATTAAGCAATAATTTCTCAAAATCAAAACAAAAACGATCAAAAGCAAAACAATAACAAACTGAAATTACCTCAACAAAATCCAAGTGAAGGAGAAACGTCGGGAGCTCTAAACAGTCTTCTTCTAGCCCAGAAGCCTTCTATGATTGTCAGTTTTTTTAATAATATTAAAGGCACCAGACGAAAGCAGCTGACTAATAAACAATTCTAAAAAGGCAGGTCTTTTCGGCTTTGCCGATTTAGAAAATGAAACTGGTAAGGTAAATAAAGAGAAATGTACAGGACAGGTCAGCGGCTCATCAATGCGGGTGGGTTTTCTTCTGCTGGGGGTCGCAGGATAACAATTCTGCCAAGGTGGACATTGGCCGTCCATTTATTCATACGCGGCAGATCTTTACCTCTGATTTAGACAATTGTTCCATGCATGGTTTTTTTTTCCCTGAACTAGATCTATTTTTTGTTTGATTAAAGTAGTTTAGAATGTGACATTCGAAAGAAAAAAGTATCTCACTTTATTTGAATTGTGCCATGACAGTCCTCCAAAAAGTAGTTTAGAATGTGACATTCGAAAGAAAAAAGTATCTCACCCAGGTATTTGAATTGTGCTATGACAGTCCTTCAAATACGCAACTGATTTCTAACCATTAATTCATATGAAATTCAACATTCTAAAAATTCATGATTTTTTCCATAGGGGTGGGTGCTGCTAAAGGTTAGTCGTCCTTTTTTCTTTTTCATGCGGGCTAAGCGTCGTTAGTCCTCGTTTGTGGGCCTTGGCTTGCTTTTTTTTTACATGGATGCTGGTAAAATCTAATTTAGAGATCCGATGTCTGTCGGAACACTACCATGTATGCGTCTTAACACAACGCACCAACCTGTGGTGCCAAATTGTTGATGGCGCCGTACCCTTTTCAAACCAAAGCACACGATCACACCATAATCATAATAATTGTTAAAACTATGTAACTACTGACTGAATTCTCTCCATCATATTAGTCCCCACGCTTGCCCCACCGACAGTGCATCTCATTAGAAGGGCACGTACTAGGTTTAGGTCAAATACATGTCACACTCACAAGGCAATGGCTGGATAGATATTTGATATAGGCGATTGTTCCATTCCATGCATGGTTTTCCGAGTGGAGGTGGGTTCGAACCTCTATAACTCCAATGCGTTGAGCAATTGTGTCAGTCTGGATTCAACCAAACCCAAACCTAAGATCACATTGTAGTCTTGCATAAGAAATAGATTAACAAGAACTATTAGTTTATTTAAGTGAATTAGTTAGAGTTCACAAGTTTGAGTTTGGTTGAATTCGGACTATGACAGACAAATAAGGGCGGAACAAGAAATTTTTCAACGAGTGGGCTAATAAAATTTATTAACTTTATATATGGATTTTTGTAGAAATGTCACTTGAACTTATACACCAGTTTCAATTTATCACCTTTAAAAAAAATTTAAAAGAAATGTCACCTTAATTTTTCAAAATCCATTGTTTGTCATATGACTTTAACGTCATTCAATTTTCCATTCATTTTCAAGGATATTTTAGTATTTCCAAGATGTAAACCCTCTGTAAAACTCCTTTTTCGAACAAAAAAATTTAGAGAAGACAAGCAATACTTTTACATCTGAACAAAACTTAGACTTTAGGGTTACGAATTTTTTATGGTTGAGTAATTTCTGTGAGTTGTCCAATTCTAGTGATTTTGGCATTGATGGTGACTATACGCTAGAGTCACAGGGACCTCCAAACTATGATACAACTTTGCTTTCTACTTGGGACCCTCCAAATTAGGATTATGTTTTGAAGTGCTAATGGTAAACGGGTCGTGCTAATGGGTTTTGGGTCGTATTCGTGTCAATCCATTAATTTAACCCATTAAGTTAACGGGTGACGAATATTAGACCCAAACACAACCTGTTACAATTCGCGAATATCCGACATGACCGTTAAGAATAAAGCAGGAAAAAAAAACCAACAACTATCACCGAGCTTAGCCATCAACCCCTTATCTCTGTCCTCTCCCCCAAATATCCATATCATAAACACCACAACCACCACTCAAAACCCCAACCCACATGGACGGACAGTGAAGACTTCTTCACTGGTTCTCTCAACTTTTACATCCAAAGAAAAGAAATTTGGATTCTAAAAGAGAGAGAAGGAAATGTACTCATGAGAAGGAAACATAGAGAGAAAAGAGAAGGACATAAGTATAAATAAAGAAGACGAAAACTTGGGAAATAGCAAGAAGAAGAAAAAAAAAATAGAGAGGAAGAAGAAACTGTGCCACGGAAAGAAGAAGAAAACAAGAAGAGGAAAAAGAGAGAGAGAGGATTAAAAAAAAACAGAGTGAAGACAGAAAGGTTCGGTGAGAGAAAAGAATAATAAAAAACAAAGTGAAGTTAGGCGGGTGTTTTGTTTTTTTAATATGAATTGTGATACAAAATTACAAAATTACCTTCTTAACTAGTGGATAGTGAATATTTGTGAATGGACCCAACACGACTTGTTAACTTAACGGGCGGCTAACGGGTTCACTCGTTTTCAACCCGACTCATTAAGCTCAACTGAAATACTGATAATTTCGGACGAATTTGTGTCGTGTTAACGGGTCATGTGCAACATTGCCAAGTCTAGTGTTGTAGCTTTGTGGCCTTTGTACAAGTTGTAGACTTGGTCACGTTTTGAACCTATTTTGTGAACTCATTTTGCTTATATTTTTGTTTTGTATGTCATTTTCGAGATGATGTCTTTTGTCAATTTCTTTCTCAAATTTGAATTAGTGCCTTTGATTATTTCCTTTTAAAACAAATTGAGACCATAAAGTTTGAGTGTTGTTCAGGAGTAAAAGTCTTGCTTTTGGAGTTTTAACTCCTTTTTCTTCACCAAAAATAGCTTAAAAGAGGGTTTACATGCTTTTATATTTATATATATTGTTTTCATATTGGAAAGACTAAATACCCTTGAAAATTGATGGAAAATTGGATGACGTTAAAGTTAGATGACAAATAATAGATTTTGAAAAATGAAGATGACATTTCTCTTAAATTTTTCTTTAAGGTAACAAATTGAAACTTGTCAGGTGGCATTTCTTAAAAAATCCCTAAAATCTAATGGTTAATTTTTTTTTTGTACTTACAATTTCTATAGTCTTTCTAGAAATAAAAGTAAACATTAAATTATATAAACCACATTAGTTCATAGCTCCATTGACTAATTTCCAATAAGCATTATCATAAATCAAATACATATTAAATATAACCGAAAAACACATATTATCAAAATGAAAATATGTTCAACAAAATTAAAAGTGTATTTTTATTGCTTGCCTGCAACAAAATTCATAAAGAATTGGACTTTTAAGGCTTTAATAAGTTAATATATATTAGGCTAACATTTAAAAAAAGTTAAATATATAGGTTTGAATTTTTTTCCCCCCTCAAAAACCACACTAGCCCTTAGTGTGGTTCCCCCGGTGATGACAAAATGTGTTACGCCGAGTTGGCTACAGCATTGTGTGCATTGCCCTCAAATTCGATTCCTATTGTTATAGATTCTCATTGAAGTTTAATGTGTATTTCTTTTAAAAAAAAACTCACTTTGTTTTTGGCATATTTGCTAATTGTTATGCATATATAGTCTTTGAAATGTGCTACAACGACTCGTTGATGAGTACTAAGTAATTTCTTATTGTTGACGTACGTGGAGCATGACATCTTATCTACTGTTAAAAACTGATAAAGATACAGCCATATCTGTCTTAATTCAACGCATCGACGTGTGGTGCTAAATTGTCGGTGACGCCATACCTTGTGTATTTTTTTGACCACTTTATAGCTTAGTCTGAAGACAACTGTTTTCCTCATTGTCCTCTGAAACCAAAGCACACGATCGCCACATAATCATAAGAATAGTTAGAACTGTGTGGGCTCAACTTATTGATGTCTCCTTCATAGTCCCCACACTTGCCCCACCGGTGTTGCATGTTAGACAAGCTTCGTACTAGGTTTAGATAGATAGATAGCCCTCATTCTCAAATACGTGTCACAAGGCAAAGGCTCGCAATTGATGCAACATTTTGACATGAAAATTCCACGAAAATCAACTCTGTGTGAATTGACCTGATGTTTAGCTTTTGTAAAGAATTTTTCACTCCTTGGATAATAATAAAAAGAAAAAAAAAATCCCAAATAAAGCGCGTACTAACGTGGATCCATTCTTTTGTCGACACGCGTGCTGAATCTGGATCCACTAGTCATCTCATGAGCTTTCTTCATCTTTCTTCATCGTCCTTGTTGCCTGTTGCTCAGCGGCTTTGATGTATCATGTCATCGTGATTCATGAACCAACTACTCGAAGAATAGGACAATGCCACCCACGATCAACGCGTTGAAAGGTTTCCAGATTCAAGCATCACAATAGCAAAATTGTGAAAGTTGCAAACAAAACGATGATTTTTTTTTTTTTTTTTTTTTTTTTTTTTTTTTTTCAACAATTAGGATGATAAGCATGCCATTTGTAGCATTGATTAGGTCCAAAAATTAGGCTGTTTTCATTTGTCCGATTACTAAAGAGCATCTCATGAAGATTAATCAAAATCAAATAGCAAGATGGACTGATGGCACTCAATCATTAGAGCATTTCCACCAGTTAGCCCCTTGCCATGGTAAGGGGAGCCATAGGGCAGTTACTATTCACGTGAATAGTGGCTGCCCTAGCTCCCCCCAGCAAATGTGTGTTTCTAGCAGTTAGCCCCTTGTCATGGCAAATACTATTCATTTTTTTGTTTTTTTCACAACTTTGTTTATTTAAACAATTAATTTGGATAATATTTTCGGATAAGATTTTTGGGTTCGTACGTGTCAATACTATTCATATCGGATAAGATTTTCGGTTTCAAATTTCAGATAAATTTCAGATAAATTTCAAATTTCAGATACATTTCAAAATTCAAATTTGAGATAAATTCAAAATTTGAATTTCAGATACATTTCGAAATTCAAATTCCAGATAAATTACCAATTCCAAATTTCATTTGAATTTCAAATTTCAGATAAGATTTTCATCCTCTAAAATTGCGCCACATGTCATCTCTATATGTCTAAATTTTTCTATAAAACCAGAGGCTCAGCTCATACCTCCCACACCATATCTTCTCTGCATCTTCATTTCTCATATTTTAGATTTCATTTCTCATATTTTAGATTTCATTCTCCATTCTCAATGTCAGACATGGAAGATGTTTTGGATAGGCAAGAGCGAGAAAGGCGAGCAAGAATGCGCAGAAGAGCTGCAAGCAAAAGGGCGCAGAGAGAACTAGATGAGCAACTTGGTGTGGCCGTTGCTTTGATGGAGGAAGAAAACCAGAGCCGTCGTGGTTCACGAGAAGGCCGGGCATCTTCATTTCTCATAGAGTGGCGTCTCGTTCAAGACTACCGTCGGACCCGTTGGAATAATTTGGAATTTCTTACAATTCTTCACCACCTCCCAACAATGGGTATGGTTGAAGCTTTTTTTTCCTTGCCCAGTAGCACCAAAAAACATTTGTGCTTGTATAGTCTATAAAAAAAAATAGGAATGCAAGAAACTTTAAAAATTATTGGCAATTCAACAAGTATAAAAAAATAATAATGGAAATACAAGAAACCTTAACAATTTATTAGAAATGAAAAACAAAATTTAAATATTGCAACAAACATTCATATTAATATTGGAAATACAAGAAATATTAACAAAATATATAAATTGCAAGAAATATTTAAATTAACTTTAATATGACATAGAAATTAATAAAACAAAAATTACAAATAATTTACCTCACTGGTAAGGTTTTCCCCGCTTCTATGGTTGTCCATCGCCTTTGCCAAGGCATCCCTCCATTTCGCCAACTCTTTGTTAAGAATTTTCCACCTACTAGATAGTGCTTGATCTGTACGGGTCGTACCAATTACCCTTTCACAAAAATCCTGATGAATTTTTTTCCACATATGACAGAATTTCATCTCATTGCCCGATACGGGACAATGACTAATGTGGAGCCAAGACTCACACAAGCTAACATCTTCCATGACACTCCATGCCCCTCCGGTTTCACTAGAAGAACCCATAAATTTTTCTAGAAAAATTCAACTTGAAAGTGAAAAAAATTTAGACTAGAAAGTGAATAATGGTAGAATGAGAAGAAAATGTATGAAGAGGTGGTGTTAAAAGTGAAGAGTATTTGTTGGTATTTATAGGAAAAAACATCAGTATTTTTTTGGGTATTTTTTCAAATTTTTTCCGATTTTTTTTTCATTTTTTTTCATTATTTTTTGGCCAGATTGAACAGCTGCCGTTGGATTGCTGGAAGAACTTCATCGGAGCGCCAGCGCATCGCCACGTGGAAGAGAGCCGTTGGGTGCAACTTCCGATTTTTTTTTCATTTTTTTATTCGCGAAAAATGAGAAGCGTTGGATTTTGAATAACTTTGATCGGACAGCTTCAGTGCGCGCCACGTGGAATAGATCCGTTGGCGGGGCACAAATGGTCGTGACGTCAGCGCGCTGACGTAGGCCCAAAACTCGTTTTGCTCCTCAGGCTGGACCTGCCCGAGGGCTAGCCCAGGCAATTTTTTTTTCTGGGGCCCACACCTTGCCCTGGCAGCATTGTGTTGCTGGAAACAACATTTTTACCCAGCCCTCCCCCCAGCCTGCTTGCTGGAAATGCTCTTATGTATTTTCATTACACCCAACACAATCATGGAATTATTTTATTTTACATAGACATTTCTAACCGATACCTTTAGATATCATTCTTTAAGCAATATGCTAACCACTAGCATTATATAATATGCTTTAAGAAATGCTAGCCCCCTAGCAAATCCCCTTACTCCATATACATGATACTTCAATAAGTGGATGGAATGAGAAAAAACTGAGTTACCAAAAGACTAAGAACTAGGTGGTTACAAATTTATATGTATTAATAATAGTTAGCATATATGGGCAGTGTATTTGTCTCTTTTTATCCGAGTTTGATCCTTATTTCTATACTTTAAAATAGTTTAGAATATCTTATTATAAATTAATAAAAATAAATAATAGTTAGGATTTTTAGGTCTAATGGTCTCTAAATTTTGACCCGATTCGCATTTTTGTATTTCAATTTCCAAAATCATCCCCGTGATCCTTCAACTTCACTTTCGTTAGGACAAATGGTCATGTTGTCAATTTTGTTATATTTTTTGTTAAATATATGGGCAAAATGATATTTTTGTATTATTTTTAATTTCCACCATATGAATATTCATTTCACCCAAAAATAAAAAATAAAAAATAAAAACTAAAAAACCTCCTTCCTATCCTTGCCATCACATAGAGGGTGGGTATGGTTTGGATGGGGGTGTGGGTTGTGGAGCGCCATTAGTTGTTATCGGGGTGGTGGGTTAATTGGCTCGGTGTCGGGTGGAGGTTGTCCATGGCTTTGTTGGCTTTGTTGGAATATTCAAATGGTGGAAATTAAAAATAATATGATAATATCATTTTGTCTATGCATTTTACAGAAAAAATTAGCAAAACTAACGGTAGGACCATTTATCATAACAAAACTAAAGTTGAAGGACCACATGAACAATTTTGAAAATTGAGAGACCGAAATACAAATCGGGTCAAAATTCATGGACCATTAAACCTAAAAACCCTAATAGTTAGATTGATTTGAACTTTAAAGAATCTAGACCTTATTTGGATCCTTCGACAGAAAAAACAAAAAGACCTTATTTGGATCCTTTTAGGCCACAAATAAACAAGGTGGACCCCTTTCAAACAATGAATTCCATTCGTAAGGTCCAAGCTGAACCAGGCCCAAAAGAATGTCCAAGCTTGATGACACCCCAACAAAGTTTTGAAATTCATACCCAGAATATAGCAAAGCCCATACGGTCTCAAACCAGTATGTGAATATGGGCAGGGTAGGCAAAAGCTGAAACTGTGGTCAAGTTTTTGCTTCCCTTGCACTCAAAGAAGGAATAAAATAGAAGCAAAGAAGGTGGTGGGTGGTCTACACATTGAGTTTTAAATAAGTTGCACCTTCAATTTCTCTGACAGTCCCCTCCTAACCTCATTTGTTGCACCTTCATTTTCTTTCCCTTTCACTCCCTCAAAGCATTGATCTCTAATTTTCTAAACCATCCATATAAAAATTCATTCCAACACAAACACAAAGCATTCCCCATTGTTCTGTAAATCAAAGCAAAAATGGAGGCAAAATGGTTGGTGTTTTTCTCAATGGCAGCTACAATGCTTGCCCTTCATGTTGTGGATGGTCAAGAAGAGTCGTCTGTGAAGCCATTGGTGAAGATAGTGAAGGGCAAGAAGCTGTGTGACAAGGGGTGGGAGTGTAAGGGATGGTCTTTATATTGTTGTAACCAGACCATTTCTGATTATTTTCAAGCTTACCAATTTGAGACCCTCTTCTCTAAGCGTAACGCCCCCGTGGCGCATGCAGTGGGCTTCTGGGACTACCATTCTTTCATTACTGCAGCCGCTGACTACCAGCCTCATGGCTTTGGTACTACAGGAGGCAAGCTCCAAGGAATGAAGGAAGTTGCTGCCTTTCTTGGCCATGTCGGCAGCAAAACTTCATGTAAGTCTAAAAAAATTTATATCTTGGGTTTTGTGGGTTGATTTTGTTGGACTTCTTTTAGGACCTATTTTTCTCCGTATATATGACAGTGATTGGCTGGTCGCGAGTACCAATTGATAGATATGTTGTCGATATTTAATCGATACTATTGTCAAATATTGAACTAAAAATATCAACAACATTTGGTATTCGGTACCAAACAATCTTTTCCAGCTCTGAATTAGTACTTGTTTTTAAATGGATTTTGATTAGCTCCTCAGGACTCCAAGGAAAAAGAACGTACAAATCTAGGAATGCTGCTGTTTGATCTTATGGATTCCATGATTTCATCCACAATGCTTTTCCTTGAAGGGTTTTGAGTAAAATTGCTTTTCAAGCTAGGTTTAAAAATGATTGTTTGCAGTCTTGTACATGAAGAAACAATGGATGATGGTTTTTGTTTGAATTTTCAGGTGGGTATGGGGTAGCCACAGGAGGACCATTGGCTTGGGGTCTATGCTACAACAAGGAAGAGAGCCCTAGCCAGTTCTATTGTGATGACTATTACAAATACACTTATCCCTGCGCTCCTGGAGCTTCATACCATGGCCGCGGTGCCTTGCCACTCTACTGGTACAAAACAACACATTTTAAATCCATTTCCAATTCTATTTTTCTTTTGCAAAATTTCATTTTGGGTTTTTTCCTTTTTTAAACAAGCGATAGACTAAATTAATCTAATCTACAGTGAGGGGTACTTGAATTTGAGTGCCCAGAGGGATGGACTGAATGCCCTCCCAACTGACCTAACCCCACATCTGCTTATTTGGGTGTCTTTGATTTGCAGGAACTATAACTATGGAGAAACAGGAGATGCCCTGAAAGTGGACTTGTTGAACCATCCAGAATACATAGAACAAAATGCAACCCTAGCCTTCCAGGCTGCAATCTGGAGATGGATGAACCCAGTGAAGAAGCACCTTCCTTCAGCCCATGATGTCTTTGTTGGGAAATGGAAGCCATCTAAGAACGACACTTTGGCCAAGCGAACTCCTGGGTTTGGCACCACCATCAATCTGCTTTATGGGGACCAAGTTTGTGGTCAAGGTGACGTTGACTCCATGGACAACATTGTCTCCCATTACTTGTATTATCTTGATCTTGTTGGAGTTGGCAGAGAAGAGGCAGGCCCTCATGAAGTGCTCAGCTGTTCTGAGCAGAAAGCTTTTGATCCTTCATCTTCTTCTTCTTCATCTTCATCTTCATCTTCATCTTCTTGAAGTTGGTTTGGTGGCGATAGGGCCTGTCAATTTGTTGAGCTAATTAGTGTACCCTTAAAAAAATATACATGTATTAATAAAGAAGGAAAGTAATTTGTTTTGAGAATATATGCATTGAAGAGGAAGGAAGGAAGGAAGGGGAAGCAAAATGAAGACAGATTATATTCAACTTCTTTTATCTTTTGTGTGAAGTTGCAGCAAAAGCCTGCATATTGTGTGTAAATTTTGTGATTTATGGGTTTACAGGTTCGAAATATTGTATGCAATTATGCAATTTGATTTGTATAAACCATGTTACTTTTGCATAATGTATATATATATATATATACCCAACACGTCAATCCCATTTTTGTAACAGCCTCTTCAATTTTCTTTTTTCTTTTTGAGATAAAAACGATAGATTGTATTTATGATTCAAACACAAAGGCCATTAGCCACAAAAACCTCTTCTTAACCTTCCATAACTCTCATCAGACATATTTGGCTTTTTGCAATAATTGTATAAGATTGTTCTGCACTTTTTATTTTTTTGTCATCAAAGTTATACGCCTATAAAATTCGAGCCTAAAACTATTAATTTGCGAATCAATATCACTTTTCATTTGAGTAGACCTGTTAGTATTTTTTTGTTCTTTAACTTCATGTTTTGATATCAATTTGGTGGGTGTGCATATAACACTGGAAATTAGTTTAAGGCACCAGAGATTTCTCGAAAGCCAGGTCTACGTGTAGCCCAAGAACTAGACCTGGGCCACATGAGCAACCGAACCAAAGAAACAAAACAACGCAGTCAAGGAGACAGATTATATTAAGCTGACGCCATCCCCTTGAAATTATATTTCTTTTTTAAAAAAAATTATTTTTACAGCACCTCGTAATGAGTCACGATTATATAATTGATATATATAATGCAGTCCAAAAGGCATTCCAATTCATTTTAAATGCTAAAGCCCCTTGAACTTGAGTGGGCCCTACATTTCGCTCCTCAATCGCCGAGGACGCACAGCTGCCAAACCACTTGCACACGGGCGTGCTAGCTTATAAAATGAATTAAAAACTTGATTCCTTTTTGTATTTTTTTTTCCCATCCGGTCTTTTTTTATTAATAAAATGTTAGTCCTTTTTTAGGGGAAATAAATAGCTAGTTTTTTTTTCTTTACTCTAATCATTTTTTTATATTTAAATCTTGTCCAAATTTTATTTTATTTTTTTGGTTGAAATGTTCATAAAAAAACTAACATAATATAAACATACATTAAAATAAAATAAGTTAATTAAAAAAATACATAAATCAAATTACATCATAAAAAAAATATAAATAGTCTCAAATTGTGAGAAAGATGTTTTTAGAGCTCAAAAGATTCTATCGAAACTTTAAATAAGGCTCTATCAATCTCTTTTAAAGCCCCAACCATTGAGCATGGCCTTAAATGACTATCCTTCCCTAATAGTTCCTTTATGGAATATCATTGCCTTAAATAAATTTGATGGCATGGTTCAAACAAAGCATCCTAAACATCTTATTATTAGAATAAGGGTTGCAGTGTGTCATAAAATGCTTCGGGGAATTGAAAATAAATAAAAAAGTTGAAATTTTCATTTGAACTTGGTAAACCGAAACAATAAAAAGAAAGTAAAAACGATTCTCGTAGTGGCAACAAGCAAGAAAAATAAAGCAGTCTAAACCCTGAATGCATGGTTATAAGAGTGTTGCAGTAGGAAATAAATGATGATGCTACAAATACCACTTTATACCAAAATCTGTGGCTGTAATGTTTGTACATAGCACAAAACTTCAATATTTTCTATATTGGTAAATAAATACCAAATTCAATATGTCCTTGAATATTTCCTCAAAAGGAAAAGTAAGTTACCAAAATACAAATTTATAAATAAACCCAATTCTAAACATGTATTTATAAAAAAAAACTCAAGCACTATTTAAACATAGAAACACACCCAAAATCAACAATTGTATATTTTTTGGGTGTGTTTATAAATAAGTTTTGAGTGTGTGTAATGATGGATTTTGAGTGTGTTTATAAAGTGTTTTGGGTGTTGAGTTTTTTTATAATTTCAGCCCATATTTTGAGTGTTTTAGTGAAACTTCCTTCAAAAAAACCAGCCCGAAAATATGTGGGAACGAAAGCAACTGACACGTCGTGTATTTAGAAAGGCTTGGAATTAGATGAGCAATGACGAAAGTCGTGTAAAATATGTATATATATAGCTCCCAGCTCCACTTCCAACCTCTTGTCAGCTTCTTTCTCATTACTCTGAATTTCTGAGAGAGAGAGAGAGAGAGAGAGAGAGAGAGAGAGAGAGAGAGAGAGATTAGAGGAGGTGCAGTAGAGATGGTGGTGGAGCGAGACATAGACGATCTGCCGAAGAACGACGCGAACTACACGGCGTTAACGCCGCTGTGGTTTCTGGAGAGAGCAGCTGTGGTGCATCCCACCAGAAAATCGGTGGTCCACGGATCTCTTCACTACACGTGGCAGCAGACTTACCAGCGTTGCCGCCGTTTGGCCTCCGCTCTTTCCAAACGCTCCATCGGCCTCGGCACCACGGTACTTCATTAGCTTATCTTAATTTTCTGTCATCGACGACTTTAGCTGAATTTGTTTTATTATTTTAAATTATTTTTATTTTTATGTCATCAAATATTATATTTTAATTTTGTTAATGGTGAAGATGGATATGTATGTATCACCAGAGAAGGAAAAATAAAGGCAAGCTCTTTTGCATGTTTAATTGAAATTTATGGAAATGAAATTACATTTAAATGCTAGATTTCTTTGTAGGTTGCTTTGGATTTTTTCCCTTTCTGCTTCATGTTTGTAAAGGACTTTGCTTTTAGTTTAGTCTTCTACTGGTTTATGCTTCTTCTCATTCAATACCCAATGTTAAAGAGAAGAAACTTATAGAGACTTTTGAAAATATTTTGCATTATGGATTTCAAGTAATTTAATTGAAACAAAAACGAGCCTTCCAAATGCAATTGGCTTTCCTTAGAAAGTAAGGAATAAAAAAATAAGGCTTCCACATAGATACATACAGTTGGGAAAGAAAGAAAAACTAGTTACAATTATGTCACCTCGATCTAGGTCCCGAATTCGGCTAATATTGTCTGTCTTTAACTTCAATTAGACACTTTGAAGATGCAATAACTCACCAGTGTTCCTGTAGAAAAACACCTATTTCTACTCTATATGCATGCAAAGAACCATGCTATGAAACAATTGCAGCATGACACTGGTCATTTGCAATTAATTGCTTCAGTGACATCTCCTTTTTCCTCCAAAATGCAGAAGGGTATTATTTTCACAAAAAAAATGTTCTTTTTAATTTGGTCATTCCTGTTTCACGCTCAATTTTGTTGAGATAATGGCCTTTTTTATTTATTATCTTGCTTCCGTTTTTCTTTTCACTTCCTTTGCTGATAACTATTGTCTCTGCACCATGCTTGTTTTGGGGGATTTTTGAAGTTCTTTTCTAGTTGTCTATATGCTATGAACAGATAGTTTATGCTTGAGTATTCATAATGTCATTCTTTTAATGGACATATTTCCTTTCTACTGGCATGGGAAATTTTATTGTTTTTTTTTGGGCTACTGGTTTTTGGTTTTCATTGTACTGCAATACCTGGATCCTTGTTCTTAAGAATTCATAATAATCTCTGAAACCATAATGCGCACCTCTTTAAAATCTTGGATCAGTTTTAAGATACCTGTGTGGGGTCTCATAATCACCTTTTGTATATGCTTCTTTTGTTGTGTTGGAGCTTGTTGACTGACATATTACTTCTCTGATATTGACAACAGGTGTCAATAATTGCACCAAATATCCCAGCCATCTATGAAGCTCATTTTGGAGTTCCAATGGCAGGAGCTGTGTTAAATACTGTCAATGTCCGTCTAAATGCACCTACGATTGCTTTCCTTCTTGGTCATTCATCATCTGTAGTTGTCATGGTGGATCAAGAATATTTTCCCTTGGCAGAGGAAGCTTTGAAAATTTGGGAAGAGCAAAGCAAAGGCCATTACAAGCCTCCACTCTTAATTGTTATAGGTGACGAAAATTGTGATCCCAGGGCACTAAAAAGTGCTTTGGGAAGAGGCGCCGTTGAATATGAGAAATTCTTGGAAAGTGGTGACCCTGAGTATGCTTGGAAACCACCAGAGGATGAGTGGCAGAGCATTTCTCTGGGTTATACTTCTGGCACAACAGCCAGTCCTAAGGGGGTGGTTTTGCATCACCGTGGGGCTTATCTGATGGCTTTGAGTGGTCCTCTTGTATGGGGGATGACTGAAGGAGCTGTATATCTCTGGACTCTACCCATGTTCCATTGCAATGGTTGGTGTTTCCCTTGGTCAGTTGCAGCTCTTTGCGGGACAAACATATGCCTTCGACAGGTAAATAATATTTTGTAATTTTCAATGATTGATGTTTAATTCAGCATATGAATTAATCTTTCTGATCTTGTGTGATTTTGTCATAGTGTTGTAGCTTATATTTGATGTAGATAGAATGGTGCAATTTGATCAGTCTTTCTGGTCAACCTATTATCCCAAGTGTGATAGTAAACCCTGATTCCCTGATTGAATGTTCAGAAACCAATATAAAAATGCTCCTTGGAGCTTGTAGTGGACTTTCTGTGCTGTGGCAACATGCTGCACTTACAGTAGTGCCAAATTTTTACATGTGCCATCGATCTATAATGTTCAGGCAGCGTTTCATGTTTGGTTGTAAACCTTTTTTAAGCTCTGGGACTGAGCTTCAAATTTTATTTTTCAAGTTCTTCTGTTTCTCTGTTTACGTGGATGCTGGGCACATTTGGAGGTTAATCATTTTAGTATACAGGGCAGATGTTTGCCATTTTTTCCATTTAGTTTTCTATGGTAGCTTGCTTTAGATGTTCATGTCCACACTTTCCTTTTGGCATTTTCATAGGTTACAGCAAAGGCAGTTTATTCAGCTATAGCCGAGTATGGTGTGAC